AAAAAAAACTTTGTAGTTGCTTTCTTTTTCTTTTTGAACAAGTTTGAGCTTTATTTTAAAGCTTCATCCAGCTATTTCCTACTCTTTGGTGGATGAACACTGATTCTTTTCAAGTATGAAAGTAGTTATGTTTTATGTAAGCTATATGCTGTAACTCAGTGTGTGAAAGACATTTGAGAGGTGTCCATTCACTCATCAGTGAAACCTGAACATGCTACAGATTCCCTTAAGGAGGATCTGTCAGCTCATACTGAAAACAGCATGTAACAGAATAGTGTTAATGTTTTATAGTGTTGTTTTGGAACAGCTTAGTTTCGTTTGCCATGTCTGCAATATATTTATATAGAGGGAACTTTTGTATCCTTTTTTGTCATTGATAAATTATTCTTGGTACAGATGAAGATCATTACCTGCAACTTGTTAACACTTTGGTTGTAGGAATTTCCTTGAAGGTCATGCCAAAGTAAATTATGAAAGGTCTTAAACTATCAAGTTGCAAATAGTCCTTCTTCATGCGCTTCCTCATACAGCTGAAGTTTTGCATCATACCTACAAGGGCACACAGTGTTTAAATTTGCTGAGAGAATGTCTAATAAAGAACTTAGATTAGTCATGTGGATAGGAAAGGAGCACCTGAAACTGCTCCCTTTGGCTTTTTCTTTCCAAGCACAACTGGTGCCCATAAGCTCAATTCATTAATCTAGCCTGGTTTCCTGTCTCAAACTGTCTTTTTCAAGAGCACTGGCTTTACCTTTATGCTAGTGAAAAACAACAAATATGTTGGCATTTGTGTGCAGTCCTTGCATACAAATGGGTACGAAATTAATTTGTCTCTCCAGCCTTCCCCACCCAGTGATGTGTCTGTAGAAATAAGTCCTGAGAAGAGATTTCATTGTCATGTATTAGTGTGATGTATCTCCTGGAGCATTGGAAGAAAGGTCAGCAGGGACAGTTGTTCTTACTTTGTTTTATATTGCTAGGGCGTTCTGGAAAAGAAACTTTGTATGATAGTAGATAGTTTCTGTGCTTGCTTACTGAATCAATCAAAACGAGAAGGGGATTTTCCAGTCATACTTTTTCTGTGATTCTCAATTATCCAAAGCAGGGGGGAACCTTAGAAACCAGTTTTTTGAATTGTGGGAGTTTCCTCAGTCTGAAAATGAACTGCTTAATATGTGACATAGTTTCTTCAGAGTGTTCCACATGGGAAAGTGCAATCCACATAGGAACTGATGTTTACTAAAGCACTGTGTTGATGTGTCTTCAAGTTGGGTTGGTGTTTGGCTGAGATCAAGGGTTTATTTTATTATACAGCAAGGAAGTACCAATGAGGTGTTTAAAGATTCTGACAAAACTCTACCATGGAGGCTGAACTGACTTAGTTTACTTTGTATTCTGATACCATTAGTAACTGAGTGCTACAGAAATTAGGACTGGTGGGTTTTGTAGTTTGTTTTTGACAAAGTGGCTGGTATGAAGTATCCACTTACATGGCTTTGCAATTTTTCAGTAAAATATTAGTGTTCTCACATTTGAAAGACACAGAGGAAGAACTTGGGCCCACACATCAGTAAATCAAAGTGCTACTGGAAAGTAATGGCAGTGTCTGAACTCGGACACAGAGCTGGCTCAATCTTTGATGTCTCCTTCTTCCCCCCGATTGCAATGAGTGTATTTGAATTTAGATGTGAACCCCTCTGAGCTGCTGAGAGGTATCGTATAGTTTAAGAATGGAAAATGTCCCAGCTATTACTTACTTTTGATGACTTTTTAAAACATGAAGGGGTCTTACATGGGGTTGTGACTGCAGTGTTTTTCTGAAGCATGTAAGTTACCTTCTTGCTCTCACCATACTTAGCCAGTATTTTGTTTCATTGTATAGGTATTTTATGCCTATTTTAGGAAGCTTGAGGGACTTACTGCCTATAAAGGAGCATGGGAAGCATCCCTCCTTGGGAAGGCACCATTAACTATGGATTCTTTTTTCTTTTTTTCCTAGCCTAAAAGAATTCCTGCCTAAAGAATATACCAAACAAAGAGGGGCTGAAAAGAGAATATTTCAGGTAATTTTGAGACTGAAAAGCCTACTATAGCTTCACTTCCTTTATAAGAAAAATACAGGCTTTCACAGAAGTATACTCTGTGTATGCTTGAATTATATAACTGTCAGAAAATCAAGTTTAAAGACTGTCAGCTTTTCTTTTCCTTCTTCAGCAAATTTATTGTGCTGATCTTTTTTGCTTCACCGATGATTATTCGGTGTACTTTGAAGGGTAGAGAGTGAATACTCAATATTCTTAAGACCTTTTTCTCTGATGCATTGAAATGTAAGGATATGTATTTGTACTAAAATAGAAGCACATTTAGGAAAACTAGTTTTAATTTCATGCCTTCATTATTCAGGCATGATCTTCAAGAAACACAGAGTTCTGCTCACTAATGCCTGAGTTCAGTGATGTGTCTGGGAATCATGCAGTTGTAAAAGACTGAAGCAGTTGAGTGTAAAATGTACCGGTGTTGTTGGAAGTGGTCTCAGAGTTTGAGTACTGTGGATGCACTAAATATCTGTGCCTACTGAAAAATATTTTTGCCAATATAATACAAGTTGAAAAAATATGAGGTCAACAGCTAAAATCGAGTCATATGGTTACTGGAAGGACATATCAGTGATCTGTGATCACAACTTGGGAGATGAGTTGAAGAGCAGGAACAGGTCATATAGTTTTCTGTGTTACACTCCAAGTCTAGGAATTGTGTAGCTCAGTAAGTCCGTTCTACCTGGAGCTTATAGTACTGCTTCATAAATGAGTATGTCTGATGCTTTTCTGTCCCTTTACCTAATGACAGTGATGTTACAGTTTAAGAAAAGAAAGATTCATTCTCTTCTAAGTATTGCTGTATCATGCTAGTCATAGCATGTGATTTTTACCCATTTCAAACATGATCTGTGAGTAGTTTCAATCATTACATGCTTCAGTGCATTGATAAGAAGCTCATCAGTGAGGGCACTGGTGCTGGGCAAAGATACAATAGCAAGATAGAAAAAGCAAGCTGTCTTTCTGGTCAAAATCGACTGTTGCCTTGAGGTATAACACTGTTGAGTTTGGCAGGTGATTTTCACCAAGTACTCCATCTGCAGTGACTATATTTGGGCTCCTTGCTCTTTTGGATCCCAGTTGTGTTCTCTGTGCACTGAACTTGAGAGACATGATCAGTCTGTGTCCCTGGGATGCAAAAGGCTTTTTGGAGTTGCAGTTGCTCGTGCTAGTGCTTCTCTGTGGACCATTGTCAAGATGGTAATTTAAATTGGAGTAGCAAAGTGTTCCCCGGTTCTTGGTGCTCCCCTAGCTACCCTCAGTCAGCGTGAGAGGCAACAACCAGTAGTTCAGAAGAGTGCAAGGGGAAGATGTGACGTGATGGGGATCCCACAAACAGTATTTAAATAGCAGGTTACTGGGAGAGGATTTTCAGAAGAATGGTCTAGGGTAGGACAGCAGATGCTGAGATGAAGTTTGAATACATAATATTGGTAGCTGCCTTTGCTTCCAGGTAATAGTTTACTGATGAGTAAATTGTTAAAGTAATAAATAGAAATTGAGAGTTACCAGACAAACCTAGATGAGTATTCCAGGATGAATTAGTGAGAAAAATCATTGCTGCTTCCTCATCTGTAGAATTCTTTTCATGTGATGGAAAAAAATGTAGATAACAGTGCAGCTGGCAAAAAAAATCCATTGGAAGAACCTACAAGAGATGAGAAATGGTCAATTACCAGGTGTGATGCCTTCATGAGTCAGAAGGTTTGGGCACAAAGAAGGAATAAATAGTCTGCTCCTTGGAAAAGATATGGGTGCTGGAACTTTTAAATTATTTTTAAAAGCTGAGTAAAGAGGTGTTTACTTATGAAAGCTCATGGTGCACAGGCTATGTTCTCCTTTGTGAGGAGCTACAGGATGCAGTACTGCTAACACTTTTTAGCCAGTATTGTTTTCAAATACTCTGGTTGTAATGATTGTTAACTGAACATCCTTAAAAAGATAAAAGCTAAACCCTTTTTTTGTTTGTTTCCAGAAAGCATTGTTTCTGCCTAAGTGATACTGAACTCTCATTACAGGAGCACAAAAACTGTGGTGAGATGACTGAAATAGAAGCCAAAGTGAAGTATGTGAAGTTAGCCCGCTCCCTGCGGACCTACGGAGTGTCTTTTTTTCTTGTTAAGGTAATGTAGATCTTGCTGTGATCATATTGTATGCTTAGTTATGTATTTACCTCAGATTCTTCACTAAGCAAAGGTCAAAGATGTTCTTTCAGCCTTCTGTCTGCAAGCAGCATTTGGAAAAAGGTGTAAATCACGTGTGGGACAGAATTATAATTTCAGTGTAGCTCCTTGTCGTACTGCTTCCAGAAAGTTGAGTCTGTCATGATTTAAGTCCTTTAAATCAACATTTCTTCTTTTCCTTTTGATTAGCAATGAAGTACTGTCTGCAGAAAAACATTCACAAAGAACTCATAAGTTGTTGCTGTTTATAAGTTTAATGAGAATACAAATTGCGTGCTGAAAAACTGCATTGGAAGAACAGCTTCATCAAATGATAAGGTTTTAGAGAGGCCAAAGATTTGTTACCACAATCCCTAAAATGCTTCTGTTTCCTGGAGGAGGGAGAAGAGGGAGTGTCTTTTGAACTGCATAGTAAAGATCCAGTAAAGACCCGAGCTTCTTAATGTTAATGCATTGCTTGAAAATCACTGCCTGTGAGCAGACAAACTGAGCCTGGAGTTTTAAATTGTCCTAGTCTGCATGCCAGTTGCTTCCTTCTGTCAGTATATTCCATCATGCTTTTCCTTTCTTCTATGGCAAGCTCCATTTGAATGAAAAATAATTTTCCACATTTTGTTTTAGGAAAAAATGAAAGGCAAAAACAAACTGGTTCCTCGTTTGCTGGGTGTTACCAAGGACTCGGTGATGCGTGTGGATGAGAGGACCAAGGAAGTGTTGCAGGAATGGCCGCTGACAACTGTGAAACGCTGGGCTGCCTCGCCTAAAAGCTTCACTCTGGTAATCTTTTAGTATATATTCAGACGAAGAGGGATCTCTGTGGCCAGGAGAAAGGAAGATGGACTTACATTTAGAACAGTTTCTTCAGTATAACTTGTTCTGTCTGTAATGTTCTAGCATTATGTGGAGTCACAGAGCCCTAAACTAATAAACTGGCCCATGTTGGTGTCTAAAGTAAATCTGTATTTTGACATTTCTGGACAGACCAACTCCCCAAAAGTACTGTGTAAATCTTTTCAAAAAACACTGTTTAAAACTGGTTTGTGCCTAACCACTAAAACGGTGAAGAAAACATCATTATTCACACTTGGTTTTTAAGCCCTTAAGGTACTTGCCATTTGTAATGCACTTTGTGGTGGTTCAGTAATACATTTGACATTTATGGATTTGAAGAATTCTCCTGAATGTGATGTTTTGTTAATTATTTGGTCCATAACAGACCTCTGCAACTTTCATTTTGGTTATGAAAATGTTGTTTGAAGTGGGAAAGCGAAAGGCAGTGGATGGAAAATTATATTCACTTTAATCATGTGCATCTAACTTCCAATTGCATGGGTGATAATGCTTTAGGGTAAAATTCTGAAGACTTTTCTCCATCCTTCAGTAACTGAGTCCGATAAAGCCAGACTGAGAACGGGCATTTCAGTTTATGAAACATCTGTTATTAAGCTGCAATAAAAAGCATCCTTCTCCTTTTCTGCCTCGCCCTCCATATATAGACTGACTTCGAATCTTGGAGCAGTTTCACTTGGTCTTCAATGTAATAAAATGTCTGTACAAACAATTTTAAAACTTGAATTCTCTCCTATTTGGTACTGAGAGGGATATTCTTATTTTTTTTTCTTCCTTCAGGATTTTGGGGAATATCAGGAAAGCTATTACTCAGTACAGACCACTGAAGGAGAACAGATCTCTCAGTTAATAGCAGGTTACATCGATATCATCCTAAAGAAGGTAAAGTACCAAGATAATGTAGTAAAAGTGCAGTAAAAATCGCTGTACAGCAGTGCAAACACTCAGATGTGTGCAAGCTGCACTTCTCTTTCTCTCATTAAGTCACTGTTGTGTCTTATGTTTTGATGTTATTTATTTTAACCTTTAAGTAATGTAAGCTCTTTAATTATAACTCAAATGAGTGCTTCTGGAAAATATCAAGGCTATTAACTGTAGTGGTAGTATGGGTCAGCCTCAGTACAGCACACTTGGGCTTTGTTTTTCTGTCTGGAAGGTGGACTGCTGATTAGGAGCGTATACCCAGAGAAAAGTGCAAAGCTTCAACTATATTTTAAGCTGTGGACCACAGTGGTGGATCAGGTGGGAAGAAATCCCCTGGAAGCAATGTTTAAAACTGCATTAAGGACTAAACAATAGTGGTCCAGCAGCTCTCGCATATAATGCATCAAAGCTGTTATATTGCTTTAATAATTTGTGATCAGTAAAGCAAAGAATTATATCTCAGTTGTGCAGAGAATCAAGAATGAAAGAGGCCAGATTTTCTTGAAACTTGCCTTTATGGTGTATTCCTGGCAGGAGACATGAGAGGCTGATTTGCATCTCCAGCACACAAAATATTCACAAGTAAATAAGTGCAACTGCAAAAAAACCATGAGTTTTGCAAACAAACATGGACCTGAATGGTCATACTCCAACCACGTTGTACAGAAAAGTGAGGTGTTTCAAAAGGCGCTGGTTGTTCCTTGACAATTGTTTTTGATTTATGAAGGTTCAACCGAACTACATTATTAGTTGCTGTAATAGATTTTCATGGTAAAAAGTGACAGAAAGCTAAGCAGGAGAATTTATTGCCATTGTTCATGTGAGCAGTGTAGAATGTAACAATAATGTGTTATGAAATCAGAGATTGAGGAGGATTGCCAGAATTCCTCACTGTACATGGTTTTTTTCTCCAAGTCTGTCAGTCTCAGATTTAATAAATGTTAAATAAACTGCAGATTTCTATAGACGGTTTAAAACTTGATTCAAAAGTAGCTTCACTCTCTAATGCAAGATGAAGGCAGCCTGCCTTGATAGCACACATGTATTTCCACTCCCTTCCACTTCTTTGATTTCTTCTTTTCAATCTGCTGACACAGCCAATTTTAAAATGAATGGATTAGGAACAGGTTGAGTGATAAACCCCCACGATGCTTCCTGATGTGAATGAGAAGCATGCAGTTTCCATTTGTCAAGTTGAAGATATCTGTGTTTGAGGCATGTGTGCACGCCTCAGAGTATGCTTTATCGCTCTCGCTGGTGTCATGTTAATTCTTGGTGTGTTTTGGACTGTTCCAACTCACTTGCTCTGGTGGGCACTGGTAGCACATTTTTCTCACTGAAGCGTTATTGGTGCAATTACTCCCCAGCCACTCTTGTCCTGCAGTTTTAATGACAGGTCATCTACCAGCTGACAGAAAACCCTGAACCTGAGTAACTTTTACCATTTTGTGGAATCTAGATATATTTTTATTTCACATTAACATGGAAGTAAATGTCCAGAAGTTGAAGTAACTATGGTAAAATAACTTGTATACAGTATTAAATTTATCATCTGAGGAAGAAGTTCTTCACAGTGAGGGTGCTGAGGCACTGGAATGGGTTGCCCAAGGAAGTTGTGAATGCTCCAACCCTGGCGGTGTTCAAGGCCAGGTTGGACAGAGCCTTGGGTGACATGGTCTAATGTGAGGCATCCCTGCCCATGGCAGGGGGTTGGAACTAGATGATCTTAAGGTCCTTTCCAACCCAAACCATTCTAGGATTGTATGATTCCATGATTCCATGATCTTTACTATGGATATGTATTTTCTAGTGGTAGGTAGCATCATATAGTAACATTTCAGGATGCTAAATATGACTTGTAGCTGAGTTCCAGTTACCTGAGCCGGTCTGATGCTCTTGAGTTAGAAGAGAACAGGAAAAGGCATGGTACATATCTGATCTGCACCAGGAGTTGCTGTTGTTGTGTATCACTCAGTCCTCTGAACGCTTTTTGTGAGAAAAGACAGTATTGCAGCACTTTCTTTATACCTTTGTTCAAAAAGGCATCAGTAGGCTTTTTTCCTTTATACGCTTAATCTGTCACGGCTTAGAACCTGGTCTGTTAGATCCTGAAGAGCATTTCTTCTGAGGTAGAGGTTATTTTGTCACACACTGCCAAAAAGCATGGTGTTCAGCACCAGACATGACGCTGCAGATTATTTGACTAGGTTTCAGATAAAAGATGAGGAAATGGAGAGAAAGCAAAAAGCAGCACACATTGTTTAACAACAATTTTTAATTTTTATCTCCCCTCCAGAAACAAAGTAAAGATAGATTTGGACTTGAAGGTGATGAGGAATCAACCATGTTGGAAGAATCTGTTTCGCCTAAGAAGTGAGTGTATACAACAGAAGGAAATGCACTTTGAGTGACACCTTTTAGCTGGGGCAGCATTTTTCAGATGCAGTACTGTAGTTATTACCATTAAAGAAGGATTTTCTACAGGGTATTTCAACGGAAGGAAGTACTATCCCCAAATAGTTCAGCTGGCTCCTACCTTCCTTCCCCAGGGAGGGTACTTCAGCAGCAGTGAAGATGCACTGAATCTTTGCTTGTCATGCAAACACCTAGGATTTACAAGGTTTTAGTTGCTTGTGTCTGCTAGGTGCATGGTTTCCAGTAAATTTAACTTCTGTCATTTTAATTGTACGCTGAGTCATGAGCAGAGCTGCCTTATTTCACCAAATCACTTTAGACAAATCAATCAGACGTGTGGTGTGGGTGAAGGTAAGGTTTTGGTACTAGCAGGTCAGGCTATGGCTCTGATGAGAGAGTAACTGAATATAGCAAAAGCAGAGCTGTAGAGCTGGCCATACTCTTGAAAGGAATATTCAGTCTTTCCTTGCAATGAAGGGTTTTGACATTACAAGCTGTAAAAAGCCACTCAAGTCTCCTCTTGGAGCTCTGATTATGGCAGTGTCAGCAGTGTGTATGTGAGAAGTCTATATGATATATTGTTAAACACATGGTTTATAGGAGATAGACTTGTTAGATATTTCCACTTTTGACAAATCACGTATGTTCAGATGTGCTTGCTTTTGACACTGCCCTTTCCACACCACTTCCAGAATATACTCTTCACTAAATGCTGTCCAAAGAAGCTCAAAACTTTTAACAGATGAATGCAAGGTTTTTCCCAGTTGGAAGTTACATTTTTCATAGCAGTGTTGTTGTTAAAGCTAGAGCTTGTAGCTGTTAAAGCTTGACCCGTGTTTAAATATGAACAGTATATCTGGCCAAGTGGTTCATGGCCATGGATGACTAACTTCATTAATCTTGAAAGTATCCTGCCTCCCAGCCCATTGTTTGGTAGGCTGCCAGATTATTAGCAAGTACTGTGTATGCATGTGTGTATAAAGAGGGAAGAATGTTAGTTTTTATCCTAAATCTAGGGATTTTTTGCAAAAACCATCTCTACAGGGTTTGTGATTCTGTTTGCTGTTAATCAGCCTATGATACAACTGAAACAAGGCAATTGTTATGCATTAAGTTTCTGTCTGTCATGCCTCTGAAAGGGGTAAAGCTATTGTACCACATATACCAAAACTACACATTGCTTTCTTTCTTGATGCCTGCTTATTAGTGCTGTTAATATTTGATTTGTCAAAAGCCCCAATTTAATGGTTTGGGGTTTTTTTTTTTTTTCTAAAATGTTAGAAAATGGTTAGAAAGAAAACCTGGGAAGTTTTCCAGCTTCTCCAAGTGTTGTGAAATGCAATTTAAAATCCTGAAGGAAGAACGTCCAGCAGAGATTGATTTGCAGGAGCTACCTAATTCTCTGTGTTGTATTTCTTGTTTTTTCTCCTTTCCAGACCTACCATTTTGCAGCAGCAGTTCAACCGAACAGGGAAGGTGGAGCATGGCTCTGTGGCACTACCAGCTGTGATGCGCTCAGGGTCCAGTGGCCCAGAGACTTTCAACATTGGCATCATGCCTTCTCCCCAGCAACAAGTCACAATTGGTCAGATGCACAGAGGACATATGCCCCCACTTGTGAGAAACCTCCTTGTTTTGTAGTTGAAACTTTTTTTACTTGTGTGTTTAAAACTTATCTGTGCTGCGAGTAGTCAGAAACAGCGTAGCTTTTCTGCTCCCTGCTCCCAAACTGTCAGTTTATAACAGCCCCCCTCTGCTGCTCCTTCCTCCTCATGCTTTTCCTCAGCTCCAGCCCGGGTCCTGTCCATGAGCTTCAGTCCTTCAAGATAAACTGGCTCCAGTGTGGGCCCCCTATGAGCTGCAGCTGCTTTCAGGAGAGCCTGCTCCAGCAAGAGTTCTCTATGAGTTGCAGTTTCTGTCAGGACTCTATTCCAGCGTGGGATCTCCATAGGATGTAGTTTCTTTCAGGGAGATGTCAACCTGCTGCAATGCAAAGTCCTCTGTCTGCTGCAGGATGGGTATCTGCCCTGGCACGGCCCTTTCCACAGGCTGCAGGGAAATACCTGCTCCGCTGTGGTCTCTCCCATGAGCAGCTGGGGAATCTCCACTCTGCCACCTGGAGCCCATCCTTTCCATCCTTCTCAGACACTGGTGTTTGCAGGGTTGCAGACACCCAATACAGATCCTGCTCTGCCTAAAACCCTTCAGTCTTCCATTAGCTTATGCATATTGATGGTAATTCAGTTTCAGAATCATCCTTTGTTACATTGGTAGGCTGTTCGAGGAAGTCAATAATGATGTACCTTAGAAGCAAATACAGTTTTCATGCTCACGTTCATAGAATGCAAGTCAGTTAAGACAGCTTGGTGTCTTTGTGTGTGTGTTGTGCATTGTTTGATCTGAGAAAGTTCAGCATTTTATAAGTATGTGCAAGTACAGAGGAGTATAAAATGGCATTGGCTGAATCAAGACTGTGTGAGAGGAGTATCAGAGAGCTTTGCTTTCTCCATTGCACCAGGGAAGAGGTAGCTATCTGAAATGGCCTGCTGTTGCATTGCTGTCACTCACTGTCTTTTCATGCATGTGTAACATATGCTTGAAGGACCATTTGGAAGGTAGCACACAGCCATTTCCTTGTTTTGCCTTTCAGACCTCAGCTCAGCAGGCCTTGATGGGGACTATTAATACCAGTATGCATGCTGTTCAACAGGCACAAGCTGACCTCAATGAAGTCGATAACCTGCCACCTCTAGGGCAGGACATGGTGAGCTTCTCTGGTCCCTCATAGAAATGGATCTTAATGCTTTGAGGTGTTTACAGATCAGTCATTGTCCCTGGATCTAAAGTGGTATCAGTAAAGCTTTTAAAATGAGATAAAATTTTGTACTTTCTTTAAGGGATTTATGTACAGTGTTCCACCTGACTCTGATCAGTCTTCGGAGATCAGATGTAGTAGACTTCCTCGCATAACCATGTCTGGAATTCTGTTAGTTTCATGTGCATATGTACAATTAAACACAAACTATGGGCAATATTTATGGTGGAAGTGACTGCCTCCAGGACACTTGAAAAATAAAAGCAGAACAGGTTTCTGTCATTCTTGATCCAGGTTAAGGCGGAGGGACAGATCAAAAGACTATTGTTTATGGGTGACTGTCAGTTAGCCTTCATGGAGGCACTGTTTATGGCATTTACTTCAAAAGGACAGCTGTTGGAATGTGGTAGCAATTCCGTAGTGAATGATTCAGCAAAAGAAAATGCTTGCTTTCATATGTCACTTAAGCATTTGGTTGTTGTCCTCTGCTTCACTTTTAAAGGTTGATGAAGGAACAAGAGATGCCCGAAGTATCTCCTCTTACAGAACCTCACTGCAATCTTTAATTCTTTTGTTATTGCTCTTCAGGCATCTAGAGTATGGGTTCAGAACAAGGTTGATGAATCAAAACATGAAATACACTCTCAGGTTGATGCTATCACTGCAGGAACTGCATCTGTTGTTAACCTTACAGCAGGTAAATTGAAAAGGGGAGGATTTCCTGGCAGTCTCCTAGTTATTTATGCATTTAATTCAAGTAACACAGGGACTGCGTATGGGGCAGCTGGAGAAGTTGTTTCTTGAAATTACCCCAATAGCTAAACGTATTGATGTGTGAAATGAGCTCTCTGCCCCTCCCAACACTATTTTTGTTTCTTCCATTTCTCTCTTACTCTAAAGATGTGACCATTGATGAAGATAAAATGTGGTTTTCGTACTCTATAAAATAGGGAATGTTTGCAGGTTTATTACAAAAAAGAACATTTTTGATCTGACAGTTGTTAGAGAGAGATTATGTGCTTTATTGACTGGGTTTTTTCTTGGAGGAGCTGTGAGTGGCTTAAAGGGGTCAATACTCTATTTCTTTAGGTTATTTCAATGTTGAAAGATAACTGAAACTGTGAACTGCTCAGCAAATTGCACTGAATGAAGAGAAATTCTATTAGAAGATAAATGCTTATAAAAGAAGAAATTTAGAAATTGGAAAAATCATATCAGTCTGATTTTTTTTTTTTTAAAGTGGCAATGAAATTACTTAGTAGGCATTGCTTGGCTATCTTGAAATGTCTCTTTTGAGTCTCACCAGAGCGTAGCTTGTGGTAACTGCCTTTTTTCCCCTTTCGACTAGTAAAGCATTCTGATCATGAAAAAACACTTACCTTACAGGGGACCCAGTTGACACTGATTACACTGCTGTGGGATGTGCAATTACGACCATCTCTTCCAACCTCACTGAGATGTCTAAAGGTGTGAAACTGCTTGCTGCTCTCATGGATGATGAAGTTGGAAGTGGAGAAGACCTCCTGAAAGCTGCTCGAACATTGGCCAGTGCTGTCTCAGACTTGCTGAAGGCTGTGCAACCCACTTCAGGAGAGGTGAGTAGATGGAAACTTCTCAGGTTCCTTCTGTGAAATGCATGGCTTTGGCTTTTTTGAGACATGTCAGCTTCTAAGCCTTGCCTTGCTCCATGCCAAGCAATTTCCCCTGTGCAAGAAGTTCTTTTCATTACTTCTTATTCCTTCATCTGTCTTCATACCTTTAAGTCTTGCACCTTGATATTAGAATGTTCTGTGTAATATGCAGGGGTTAATTGTTTTGTGTAATAAATAGTTCCTTTATTTGGGTGCTGTATTCTCTTTCAGAAACAAATTTCAAACAGTACTATGACTCAGTTTAATAGGCAGTGGAGATATACTCATTCATGATTTTTTTTCTTTACTATCTTTGTCTACTTTGACGTATAAAATGAGAAGTTAATTCCTCTGCTCTAGTCTTCCAGAAATTAAAGTAGTATTGACCAGGGTAGACTTATCGTGATCAGTCTGTTATGAGTTGGAGTCAGCAGCTAGTTTGCATTGGATCTTTTCAGGTATTTATGTTTTGAAGAGCATGAAATCTCCTGATGTTGCAGATCAGTTAGCATATTGACTGTCCATCCTTAATATCCTTAATTACAACAATGTCTACTTGAGTTCTTCAAAATTCTTTACAAGTTCTCTGGGAGCACTTCAGGTGAAACCCCTGAAACACAGATGTGCAGTTGTGTATTTGGAAAAGTAAAGATTTTTCCAAAGTATTTCCGTTGTGTAATGGGTTTTTTTTAGCCATATTGATTGCATGCTAATGCAGAAGTTCCTGGAGGAAATCTAAAATCCAAGTACAGCTCATTTTCTTTGAATTAATGTGCTTCACCCTTCTATTTTTCCAGCCTCGACAGACAGTTTTGACTGCAGCCGGAAGCATTGGACAAGCAAGCGGGGAGCTACTGAGACAAATTGGAGAGAATGAAACAGATGAAAGGTTCCAGGTGATGTGGGGCTTGCTTGTCACTGTCAGAACTCTGCAGCTTTCTAATGAGGAGGCCACTGCATAAAACCAGGCTTCCCAGAGTGCAGTTAGGAAATGCCAGATTTGAAGTTTCTCACTGCTAATGGAGGTTAATCCATTGGGAAATTGTTTTTAATTATACAGTCACAAAGTGCTGATTTCATGGGAACCCCTGCTTCATTCTGTGCATCACAGAGATGCTTTCTGGCTTCATTGGAGAGCTGTTTGCACTGTACTCTCCTCAGTGTTTCAAATGCAATTGGAACAGAGATTTGTTCTTGTGGACTCTGAGCCAATTTGACTCATACCATCCAGTAAGTTGATAATGTGGATGGAGAACTGTCAAGTTTTCTAAGTAATAGCCACGTTTGCTGCTTTACATGAAACAAAATGTTTAAGTTTTGATACAAGAGAACTTCTTACTTTAGAAGATTTGATCTTAATGTATAAAAAGTACATACTTTTTTTTTTGTTCATAAGACTGAGTTTTCCCTTTATTGTACCAGGATGTTCTGATGAGTCTGGCCAAAGCTGTCGCAAATGCTGCTGCCATGTTAGTGCTGAAGGCCAAGAACGTAGCACAGGTCGCAGAGGACACCGTCCTGCAGAACAGGGTCATTGCTGCCGCTACGCAGTGCGCACTCTCTACTTCCCAGCTTGTGGCTTGTGCAAAGGTGAGGCTAGCAGTGCCCCTGGGGTGCCACGGTATTGTTTTGTGCCTGTGCTTCTGTGTATTTCCAACGGTCTCTGGCAATATGCTGTATTAATAGCATAGCTGTAGATTTATGCAATACCAAAAGTTTCGATTAGTAAATTGTCACCCAGAACAGTGGCAATCAGGAGCCCAGAGTACGTGAGGTGTTGCTGTAATCTCCAGAGAAGTTTCCACAAATAACAGAGTCCATCTGATAGGTTACTAATGCTGATAAAATAAAAACCTAAAAAACATTAGCTAAAGAAGGGCATCTTGCCTGGGGGTGACTATGTAAGTTATCTCTGAAAGCCTGGAATTAGGATGGGTTTACCTCATGCAAAGCTAAATAATGAAAAGTTGGTATTCTTGCTGAAAATAAAATCAATTTGGTCATCATTGATTTTAAATGTATTTGCACTAATGTAAGGTAGCCCAGTCGTTTTAATAGATCCATTGCTTTTGGCCAAGTAGTGATGTTCGGTCTAAGCAAATTACCAAGGAGTGGAGATCAGACCTCAAATTCTGCATGAAGTCTGCAATTGGAACCCTACATCTTCTGCAGCCTTTTTTGTCTTAAAAATAAATAAACAAAACACTTGTTCACATTTTCATTATTAAACAGTTCTCATTGCCTACTTGGATGCTGCTTTCGAAGCCTGCAGTGTCATCTTTTGCAGGAAACAAAACAGCCAAAAGGGTTCTATTCGAATTAACAGCCGATATTAGGCACTATAGTTTTGCTATTTTCCACTTTCTTTCTCTGGCTGCAAGGGCTTTTTTGTAATCCATGTATATGGATTTTCTTTATTTGGACTTGATGTTCTTATTGCCAGTGAATTTGTTCAGTATGGCATAAGACACGCAGTGGCATCCTATTTTCCTCATAAAGTATGTACAGTTTTCCCATTGCTGAAAGCTCTCTGGATATGCCTGAGCAAAACAAGGGAGGGTTGCTTCTAACCTATAGGTTTATTACTTGTTTATTGCTTGTCCTTCAGAAGTAGAACATGGTTTTACTTGTGTGAAGCACTACTATTAATTAAATAAACAAGAGGCTGATACAAAAAGCTTTACAAGACCAGTTCCAGTTAAGATTTCATTTTATTTGGAATTCAAAGGGAACAGGAGTCTGTCAGTGGATGTAGTTACTCTGGAGGAGTTTGGCCCATGCCTGCCTTCCAGAACTGTTCTTTAGTGTTTTCTCAGTTCAGTAGCTGTTGAAGAAGCATGAAACAAGGTGGGGACTTCCATTCCTGGAATCCAGTTAACAATATGCAGAGTCCAGATTACTAATCTAGACATCTGAAGCTACCTATTTAAATACTTTCAAGAGAAAACCTGCTGCAGTAGATTATTAGTTAGTAGGAAATTTGCAAATAAGCCTTTTTCTGGATGCTTTGTGTCCTTTCCCCATGCAGGTTGTGAGTCCCACCATCAGCTCCCCGGTGTGTCAGGAACAGCTCATTGAGGCAGGGAAACTGGTAGACCGTTCGGTGGAGAACTGCGTGAGGGCCTGCCAGGCTGCCACCGATGACACTGAGTTACTGAAGCAGGTCAGTGCAGCCGCCAGCATTGTCAGCCAAGCCCTGAATGACCTCTTGCAGCATGTCCGCCAGTTTGCAAGCAGGGGAGAGCCTATTGGACGCTATGACCAGGCTACAGATACCATCATGTGTGTCACAGAGAGTATTTTCAGTTCAATGGGAGATGCTGGTAAGTTTCTCTAATGGACAGTAGCTTTTCATGATTCAGAGATGTGGACATTTCAAACAGTACAAGTCAAAAAACACTTACCTGAAGTGTACTGTGCTTCTGGGCTAGTGCTGTCATGATGGGTAGTCATTCAGCCCGTAATATTAAATCAGCAAAGAGCACACAGCTGTGTGTTATGTAGAATGAATATTCTGTGAAAACAACCAGTCTCATGCTAAAGGATCACTGTAATATTTTGTCTGTTTTCTGCCACTGCTTCACTTCACCGAATTGTGTAGCAGTTTCTCATCTTCAAATATAAAGACAGGTACCTGGGCAAATACGGCCCACTGATTGATTTCATTATTCCTAGATTTAGGTTTTGAAACTTAATCCTGCTTTTTTTTTCGTGATGTTTTTAAAATGTGCAGCTTCTGGAACCAACCAAATTTTGAGGCACCTGACATTTAACCAATCCAATATGAATTTTTGGTAAAGAACCAGAAAATTACTAAGGAATTTAATTACTGTAGATGTGCACAAGAAACCATGTCAAGTTTTATGTTTACCTGACACTTATGATTCAGCTTCCGTGCAGAAGACTGCAGTGAAAGAGAAGATCATGAATAGCATTTAATTTCTGTTCACAGTCAAATATCTTGTTGTGCAATATTTAGTTTTCAGTAGAAGGTATTCCAGTTCCATTCTGTGTCTCCAACTTACTGCACTTCTGAGATCACAGTTGGAACAGCAAAGAGACTCTGGCTTATGACTTCTGTATTATTACCAGAGCAGGTTATTCTTTCTGTTTTGATTTACTGGCTTAATGCTGTAAGAAAGGACATTTGAAGGGTTTGGTTTTTTTAATAAGTGGAATATTTGGACTGCGAGCTTGAGTTACCATTGTTGGTAAAAATTTTAATTCCATTTTGGGAAATAGTTGATAAAAGCTAAAAAATTCTAATTGCTTTGTCTGCTCCTGACCAAAGGGGCCTGGTAAGAAGGCAGTTTAATTATGAAGCCCAAAAGTCACCTTAGCACATGAAAAAAAATTAAGAGCACTTGAAAAGAATGAGGCCTTAGACACAAATACATCCTAATTGATTTACTAACCTACAGAGAGCCCAGGCCTTTATGGGCTCAAGTCTGTTATGGAGGAGTTCAAGTGTATGCTTTAGTGACCAAATGAATTTGCCCTAGAAAGGGTGTCTGTCCACTTCAGAAACATTACTGTTTCATCCCTGGGCTTTACCACGACTCTGGTATCTTAAATATGCACCTTATTTTTGGCCAAACCCACCTAATTGGTGCCGAGTCTCTTCTGACAGTTTAGTTTATATTAGACAGAGAAGAATAGGTGAAAAATGGATAATTTTTATTAATAGTGAAATCTTGGCTGTAATTTGAAAGCAAAACTATTAGTCTTCACTAGGCCAGGAGTTTTCATTGATCTGTATTCAAAATTTAAGTATTGGGTTTTGTCTTGCTATCTAGAATGCAAATACTACGTTTTTCTTCCTCTTCACTGTAGCAGTTTACTTCATTTATGTTACCGTCCAAGGTTTTGTTTGTGAAGCTTCTAAGTTATGAACTTTCTGAGCATCCTTTCCAAGTCAAAAGAACACTTCAGCAAAAGAATACTTTGGCAAATGTAGCTTTATTTTGAGATGACTTTTGAAGTGGAAACTGAAGCAGAGAGAGAAGGAAAGTAAAAACTTACCTGTACCCCGCAGGTGAAATGGTACGGCAGGCCAGGGTGCTGGCTCAAGCCACTTCTGATCTTGTCAATGCCATGAGGTCAGATGCTGAAGCAGAAATCGACATGGAGAACTCTAAGAAGCTTCTGGCTGCTGCGAAGCTCCTGGCAGATTCTACAGCCCGCATGGTGGAAGCTGCAAAGGTACCGGGAAAACGAACTAACTGTCAGCTTCAAATTGTATGGTTATGCACAAAGAAGTGGTATGTGGGATATCATACATAGGATCTAGTTGATAGTAGAGATGTTTTTTCTTAACCTGTAAACGTTCTGCACTTAATTTATCCTAGGTACATTGAGAAAAAATTATTTATGTAGTCACCTGGGGTTTTGTTTTGTTTTAAAAACCCTTCATGCACTGCTTTGCTCACCCGTGTGCATGACTCAAGCCATCTAGAGTAGTTACTACCAGCCATAACCACTGTGATGCAAAGTCTTGTACCAGTCCCCCAGTGCAAATGGCACAAATAACCCATAGCAATCACAAATATCTCTTGCAAAAGCTGTAAACTTTTACAAAGGTTAGCAAGCAGCTTTGCTTCTTGAGAACAGTTCCCTCCACCACGGAAATTTTGCCTGTGCTGTTCCCCCCACCCCCATTCGCACAAGAGAACTCTGTGCTAAAAACCTGTTTAAATCCATTAGGGAATAATAAGTTCTTTGCATTGTTTCCCAGATCCTGCACTTAAATGATTTTTACAGATCAGGGCCAGCCATTCTGCTGGGGTTCTAGAAGGCCCATATGCCTGGCTACAGTGCGTGTCCTTGACTTGCAAGTGTTTTCTCAGACTTCAAATGGAGAAAACCTACAGGTTTAAATCTCAGGGTCTGGACTGCAGTTCCTGAAAGGCATATTGAACTGGGAATTTTAATAACTGTTCTTTTCAAAACCTAAGGTTGTCAAAGTATGTTATTACAGATCTGGTGGAAGCAGTTTACAAAGTACTTTTTTCCCAAGCACCTAAAGTAGTATAAGAAGCAAATGTTCAACTGCCTTCCTCTTGGTACCTGACTACACAGTAACAATCTTGCACCAGCAATAAATTTTCTCCTTCCAAGTCTTGCAACACTTTAATGTTCTTCTGACTTTGGTTAAGACAATATAAGGAGAATAAAGGGTGATGAGGCAGACACTGTCTGGAACGAAAGCCTTGATATTCATCTACGTTTTCGCCAGGAACTTCTACTAATGCTCATGTTTTTTGCTCTGCAATCTTGGCAGGGAGCGGCGGCCAACCCTGAAAATGAGGATCAGCAACAGCGCCTGAGAGAAGCAGCGGAGGGACTGCGGGTTGCTACAAATGCTGCTGCACAGAATGCCATCAAGAAGAAAATTGTCAACAGATTAGAGGTTGGATACTATTGAAGTTTCAGTTTATTCCATTTTGATAATTAGTATCTGTAGATAATTTCAAGCAAGCAAAAATGCCTGTTTCAGGGAAAGTGTTAAGCATAGAACAGAACTGCAAGCTCAGTTCCAGAGTAGTAGGGTTGGAATTTGAGATGCTAGTTTGTGGTACCACAGTCATCAGGAAATTCAGCAACTTATGTCACTGATGTAATAAAGTGACTCAGGAGACATTTGATGGTGGCCCAGTCATTAAATTAGAACAGCTGAGGTTTCAAACAGCTGAGCTGAAGTGAAAGTACTTCATTACTGCTTTCATTTATCTGTATGATCTGTCATTTACACACTATATCTTTTGGTGGTTGTACTAGTGTATCTGCCAGAGTTTCGTGTAAATTTCCATACAAAGGTATGTTGAGTTGCAGCATATCCAAATAAACTGGTGTGTTGTTTGGAGAATCAAAGAAGCAGAAACAAAAGTGAAAAGATAGATCATATCTGATAGCACAGCCAGGAAGGGAGAAAGGCAATTTGCTGTGCACGAAGGATAAATATCTCTGGAGCTTGTCTTGTAGGCAAGGTTTGATCTTCCCATTCTCAGCCTAAAATGTAGAGAAGACAGACTGAAAAAAGAAGCCTTTCATAATTCCTAGTTTCCAACTGTGGTTTTACAGTAGTCTGACTCAAGTGCAATGAGATTAGACAAACAAGGAGATCTCAAGGAGGTAACTGTGTTCCAGAGGTTCATTTAAATTACTTTATCTGACTAGAACCAAAAATGAGGAGTGTTTCAGGAAATATACGCTCATGTCTCAATTTTGTGGCTGCATGCAAGAAAGCCTTATAGGATGGAGGTTTTACCTGTTTTGCTTTTACAATATATACTGCCTTCAAAAGGAGTGAAATGTACGATGGTAAGAATGAACTTCCTGCTTGGTTGTATTTTGTGGGCCAGGTAAAGAAACGTAACATGTTTAAATAGCTTGGATGAATGGCTGAATTTTTAATCTTGTAATAGGGAGAGGATGATAGCAACACTCCTAGATATTTGAAGAAGGTCATCTCAGTGCTCTCAGATTCAGCAATACCAGTATTTTTTACCTCTGTATGAGTTTAGTATGTTTGCTTTTGCAAAGAGCAATCTCAGTAGAAGCTGGCTCCCTTGAGTCTGTCAGAAGTGGTGGTGTAGCAGTGTGAAGCACTGTATGTACTTTACCTGTTTTCTTTGGCCGTCTTTGTAAGGAGCTAATTGATTAGACCATTTCTGCTCTCTGTAATTGACTGATTTTGGTCATATTGCATCCTAAGTTGTGACAGAGTAAGAGTTTAGAATCCTCCTAGTGCCACCTTTTTCTTTATTGGCAAGATAGAGCTGAATAACAGTGTTCAGCTTATTTTCATCCTGAGAGAAGAACAATTCTGAGTTTCCTTAAGGCAATTCAAATTAATCTAAGGATCTGATGTATTAATCCGTCAAAGTTGTTACTGTCAAAGTTACCTAAAATATGTATTTCATCCTCTAAATTACTTAGACTTCTACTGCTGATTTACATCTGTTTCTTTTTCTCCACAGATTGCTGCTAAGCAAGCTGCAGCTGCTGCTACTCAGACTATTGCAGCTTCTCAGAACGCAGCGATTTCAAATAAGAACACAGCAGCCCACCAGCAACTCGTGCAGAGCTGTAAGGTAAATTATCACAACCCACTGAGAAAGAACTGTTGCGTTCTGTTTTATGGGGAACTGAAGATCACCTGCTATAATAGTAATATTGCAGCACACATTCATCTGTGGATTCTAGAGAACCCTCATTGAATTATCCATAGTTTCCCTGCATTACTGTTCGGAGAGCCTTGGAAGCTGAACTACTGTGGGTGCCATGTAGTAGTATTTGGCTGTTACAAATACCCTGCAAACACTTTCCTAGAAAGAATTGGCAGGCTTATATACGTCAGCATGTATCTGTTGAGTAACAACCAGTTCACCTGAAGGGCTTTAAGTAAATGCTTTGCTGCACATCAGTCAGCAGTACTGTATGTGCAGAGCTATGCTAGAAGCACTCTGCAGAAGGGGTCTGGTTGCTCAGAAATGTGTACACTGGCACAAGTGTGCTCTTCAGCAGATGAGTAGCTCTGTGATCATCAAAACAGGCCTTTGAATGGTGCATGCAGTGAAATGGGGTGAGGTCTGCTTTATATAATGGTAACCTTAGAATTTTCCACAGCAAAGAATGGAGTAGCAGTAGTGATTTCTACTATAATGGTGTGAAATTCATATCTTAATGTATTGGCTAGATAACAAACAGCACCGATCCTGCTGTTCTGATGCTCAGCGCACAAGCAACTGCAGTCTCAAATGTCACTGTAAAAAGTAAATTCTAGACCTTAGAATGGGTTTAACATGATTCTTAGCTTGAAGCTGCCAAGACCACACATTTCAAGGTATGTCTGAAGTCAAGCACATTTTTATAGTTCCAAGCTAGAATTCAGAGTCTGCTGAGAAGCTGTTCTCTTTAGTGTCTAATCTACATTTGGCAGCTTAGTTTCTAGCTCTGACTAATGTTGCTTAAGGGTTTTTAAATAAACTGTATTCAAACAAAAAATTGAAAAGACAATAGCATGCAAAAAGGTTTTCTTTTGGATGGAAAAGCAGCTATGTGGGGAACAAGACCAAAACCATTAAAGAAGGCATTGTTAAAAGCCACATTAACATTCAGCAATTTCTTGTCATAGTGGTAATCCTAAAATGTCGCAGTTAAATAAGGTAACTCAAGTGCATGTCAAAATTGTGTTGTAGGCAGCTGCTATTTCAGTATGAATTAAAAAATAATAATAAAAGGTGAGCTGATACACTTTATTGTTCCCAGTTCATTCCAATTTCTTGATATTTCTTAGATAACAGAGAAGTCTGATACTTTTTTTACTTTTTTGGGGGGTAGGAGAAAGTTCATATTGCACTGCTGAAGTAAGTTTTATTGTGTAATGGATGGACAAAGGAGCATGAATCTGGGCAGTCCAGGAATAAAGTTTTAGCAATGCCCACTTCTGGATGCTCCAGCCATGTTACAAAGTTTGTATTGTTAGAAGTCAAGGAAAAGTAGGCTGAGGTGCTTAGCTATAGAAGACAATGCTTTTCTGAAAGCAAAGCATTCTCTTGAAAACATGTCCCCTCCAGTACTCGCATTCGAGCATGCAAAGGAAGGAATTAAAACTACTTTTTGTATGGAATTTTGCAGGGTATTTAAACTAATCAGTAGCTTGAATAAAGATTTCTTAAGTAGAAGTCACTGAAAAATCCTGTTGTATTTTTATCCAGTTCCAGGGAGTCCTAAATGAATTCTGTGACGGCACAGGAGTGTTGTGCCTGTGAATACTACGGGTTGTCTTTAAGGGGAGTGGAGAGAGGGTTTGCTTATCTGTCAGTGGGTTTGGAGTTTTTATTATCTATTAAAAGCTTTTCTCTTTGTTTTTGTAGAATGTTGCAGACCATATTCCTCAATTGGTGCAGGGTGTAAGAGGAAGTCAAGCTCAGTCAGAAGACCTCAGTGCCCAGCTTGCTCTAATAAATTCCAGCCAGAATTTCCTTCAGGTGAAGCCAATCAATCACTGTACTCGATTTCCATCATGGCAAAAAGCATTTTGTAGTGCTGTATGTTTTCGTTTGTGACAAATAAGCAGTAAACTGTTTTAAAAAGTTCATCGCTGACTGTGAGCCATAGCTAAAGAGAATTTAGTTCCTCAGGTCGGATGGCTGAAGTATGCTGCGTTTGTGGAAAATGAGAACCAAGTAAGGTTAGTGGTGCAAGAAGCAGCTCTAAAATTCTTCTCAAATAAAAGAGACTATTACCATGGTTTTTAGACACTTTCCTTAAAGAAGATAAAATACTGAATGTTGATATCAAACCTATTGGATTTAATGTTGAAATTACAAGAAACAAACAGAAGAAACCAATTTTCCATGTAATGACATAATCATTACTTGGCACCAGTTAGTCCTGCCTTAAATGTGGCTGCTATTAGCAGGCTCTTTATGGACCCATGTAGGCAGAGGTATTGCAAACCATGCTCTCACTCCAAGTATTTTGCTATATGATTCTCTCCAGAGTCATTAAAAAATGATCCATCACCCCTCTGACTGTATGTGTACCATAGTGATGGTAAGAATCAGCAAAGTATTTTGATAGTACTAACAGCAAACCTTGTGAAGAATCATTGCTTGAACTACAATTTTCAAGGTAGAGCATTTTGGCAGAGTTTAATACTTAGAAATATTGAGAGAAATTTGCCATCTGTGCCACCTGGACCTGCTCATACCACATGGATGCTGAATGGCAAAACTGCACATTTCAATAGTTTTAAGTAGTCTATATGAGTACTCAAAGGCCTCAAGCAGACATTGGTACCAGTGAAGAAGTCATTGGACTAGTAAAGCCCAGTGTGTCCTGCTGCAGAAGACACTGCCATGTGGAATTATGACAGCGTGCAGCTTGGTCTGATTAAAAGGCTGGGATCTAGAGGGTGCATGGTTAAGGAGCAGGGAAGTGCATGAAGTGGTTGTTACAGAAAATGCAGAAACCTCTTGAGTGTGTGAATGGAGGAGGCACTTTGTTTACTGAATCCTAAGCCACATTTAAAGAAAATGAACTAGTAAAACTAACTGTGTTCCCTGCTCTTCTCTGAACAGCCTGGAAGTAAGATGGTGGCGTCTGCTAAAGCTGCAGTCCCCACTGTGACTGATCAAGCAGCAGCAATGCAACTAAGTCAGTGTGCAAAGAATCTTGCTACCAGCTTAGCTGAGCTACGAACGGCCTCCCAGAAGGTGGGTGAAGCTAGTTTTAAGCAGCTAAAGCAAGATGCCCTGGATGGTGGTTACAGGCTCACTTCTGCTTGGCCCACTGTGTCTCCCCCAGGGGAATGGCTCATGCTCAGGCAGCGTTCACTTTCAGTGTTGCCTTTTGTGCACAGTTTTCTCAGGTGGCTTCTGTGTCATAACAGAGAAGGGAGGGAGAAATGGGAAGAAAACTGACAAGCCTGTGGTACCCTTTCCAGAAAGACAAGGGGTGGCTATACACAGAGCAGCACATCAGAGCCCTGAGCTGCCCTACCTCTGAAGGAGAGCAGGGGAAGGGGAGCATATCTCATGCACCTGCCAAACTGGTGACAACCCAGGTACAGTGCTGCTGTGGTCACTGTGTTTGTGAACTGGAGCTATCACCTCTAAAATTCAGGGAAGCAGGGGCTGTCTGTGTTTCAGGTACTGATTTCTAAACTATATATGGGTTAAAAAAAGTATCAGTGGACAGTCTGCTCTTTGGCTCTTGTGTACACTGAGGCCCCAAACCAGGGTTGTAGCATAGACGTGGCTACATCCGAGCTAACGTTAAAATGCCCAGCTCAGGTACTGAGCTTTGTGGTCTGCCACATTGGATGATGCAGTGTGACTTTTGTCATGATGCATACATAGTTAGGCTATTTGTCAAAGGTGAAGTCCACACTGCAGCAGTTATTTTCTCAATACCTGGTCTACCAGTGTGAAAGTATGTGTACACAAGCTGAGTGCATCTCATTCCCCTGGTGGCTCTTTAACAGTGTGTTTATCTATTCACAAGCTAAGAATATTGTGCAGGCATTTGGAATCGATGATGTATAACGCTTGAAGTGGTCACAGTGGCCTCTGAAAGCGTAAGAGCCATCATTTGGGAGGGCGAGGTTATACCTGAAGTATTTGCTATTTCTGACAGTGGCTTACAGCTGCTGACAGTGATATTGATCTGATTTCTGAATAGGCTCATGAAGCATGTGGCCCAATGGAAATCGATTCTGCTTTGAATACGGTCCAGACGCTCAAGAGTGAACTGCAAGATGCGAAGATGGCAGCAGTGGATGGACAGTTAAAACCTCTCCCAGGAGAAACTGTAATTGAGGAAGGATGTTCTTCATTTAAAAACAAACAAAGTTAGCTGTTAAAAAATTTAAGTATTGGAGGTGCAAAGCAAGTAGTGAGGCTTTGGATAATGGTGGCACTGATAGGATTTTGCACTAATTGTCTTAAAAAGAGTTTATGTTCTGTAGCAGAATTAGAGGGCTGTAAGTCCTCCTTTATTGTATAAATGACAATTTAGTAGCATCAGTGTTTCAGTCTTTGCTTGTCAAAAAGAATTTCTTTTCAGTAGTGACCAAGTTGGGCACTCAGTAGTTCTAATACTAGCAGTCCTGGCAGGCCTAGAAAGTGAAATGTTTAATTTGGCAAAAATCCCCTCCCCTAAGATGAGGGTCTTGATTTCCATTGCTAATTATATAAGTTTTCCTGTTCATATTACCTAATATGTTGATTTATTTCAGCCTGGACAGGGAAAGCATGTTAGTCAGATTTTGGAGAACCTCTGTATATGTTTGGTAGCTGAGATAAAAGCTTGGGTTTGTGGAACGAGGGATTTTTTTTCTAGTATTTAAAAAAATAAGGGTGTTTTAGTTGAGCTGGAACAAAGAATTTTGTCCTTTGCAATTTTTCACAGCTTGAGAAATGCACTCAGGATCTGGGAAGTACATCCAAAGCAGTCGGTTCATCAATGGCCCAGTTGTTAACTTGTGCTGCTCAAGGCAACGAGCACTACACAGGTAATGTTTTATTCATGTCTCTGCAAAACCTCTGCTTTCATAAAATGCTTGATAGAAGGTTTTCATACCACAAACTCTTAAATCGAGGAATTGCTCCTTTTTTTTTTTTAACGCTGATGGTGAACTGTGGCAAATTATTAGGACTTGTGAGTGTGAATCCTGTGTTCATGAAAGAAGTGTAGCAATCTGCTGTGTGTCTGGATGTAATCAGAACAGACTGAGACATCTGCTGGTTTTGTAAATAAATGCCACTGAAACTCTGTGAAGGACAGAACTAAAATGTAAAGGTCAGTGCCATGAGAAATGTTGCTGTGTCCTTTCAGAAGGTTAAAAGGGCCTTTGGATATTTTTTGAAGCACAGGATGCAAACGTTCTTGAGATAGCCTGGTGACATTTAAAACTGCATCTCTCACTTCGTGTTACCAGTTTACGTATATAATGCAGCTGGTGTTTCTGATTCACTGATCACATTTGCATAGGTTGAGGTAAAGCCACCAGGGCATGTGGACCTGCAGATTCTACGATTTATTTTTGTACCTGTAATTTTAGAAACCAAAATCAACTTGATAAGGAAAATATTCCTTGCAGGAGGGAGAAAGGTTTACTCTTGGGTGGTAAAATGTTCTGTCTCCTGATTTTTGTAAAACATGTAAGCTGTCCACACAAATGCTACTGTCGGATTTTTTAAAATATTACTTAGAAAAAACTGCATTATGGCAATTACCATTTCATTGGGTATAATTGCATCAGGGCTGCACAACTTAGAGTTGCTTTCATTTGAAGCAGATGTAATTGCATTAAGATGACATTCCTGTCACATGGTTATGCAGAAGTTAGCACTGAGTAGCTGGCAAAGGAATACAGGTACTTGCAGCTGATACTGAACAGTTGAATCTAGTGGCACTCAACATCAATCTGTAAGAGCTGTTTGGTTGGGAGATCCTGCAAAGCAAGGAGTTAATTTTCAAAGCTCATTTAACTACTTTGTATCTCATACTGTGTCGTTATGCCCAAACCATTAGGTGCTCAAGCAAGCACTGTTGGCAGATATTATGGCATTCTACTGTTTGTGTGTGATAAAAATTCTTTAGAGCTTATACTCACTATTTAGAAATTTCCTCTTGTCTTCAGCTGTCACAGTAAGTTTCTTTTCACTTTGTATTAAAAGTCATTGTGGAGAATGAAAGCAGCACCAAGCTGAAGGCAAAGCGATCAGACCTTTTTATTTGGTGGTGCTGTCATAAATTAAGTTGAACTTAAAAGATGATTACTGGTGTCTAAATAAAGGAAACAAAACATGTGGGTGCTTTTCCTGAAGTTTTCTTTAAATTAAGAATCTAGAAAGCTGTCTGTAGCTTATCAAATATAAAGGTTGCCTACGTCAATGTAGGCAGTACCGTGTCTCTGTAGTACTTGGCTTTACTTTGATGTATAATATCACTTGCTTTTCATTATCTTCTAAAGTTTCTGTAATTCAGAATGTTCAGTTGATTGGAAGAGAAAATGTGAAAAGGCACTGGAGTTAAAATGCTGACATGACTACTTCATGGGTTGTATTTGGTTGTGATGTTTTAAACATTTCCAATAGGGACATTGGAACATTCTAATTATCTTTAACGCCTAAATGTGGATAACCAAGAGGTCTTGTACAGTAAATGTACAATTGTTCTTGCAGACAATCCTCTTCCCCCCTAGCTTGGTGTGTGGGTTTTTCCTCTTTTCCAGGTTTTAGATTTTCTTCTTTTTCAGTGCTAAGATTCTTTTTCAGACTAAGATCTAGTCACTGAAAGAGCTGTGCCCAGAACGTGGTCTTTGGGGTATAATATTCGCTTCACAGCTTTGCTACAGGCATTTCTCAAGGCAAATGATGCTGTGTGTTTCAAATGGTTTTGTGTTTGAAGATTTTCTTTTAAACTGGATTTGCAATGTTATTTTGCAACGGGATCATTGCCTTGCAAATTCATCTGTTATGAAATACAAAGGTTATCTTTAAGGGTACTGATAGAATCCTTGATGGACTCTGAACATAGGAGTTGCTGCCAGAGAAACTGCTCAGGCTTTGAAGACTTTGGCTCAGGCAGCACGAGGGGTTGCAGCATCTACTACCGACCCTGTGGCAGCACACGCAATGTTGGATTCAGCAAGGGATGTCATGGAAGGCTCTGCTATGCTTATTCAGGAGGCAAAACAGGCTCTGGCTGCACCAGGGGATGCAGATAGTCAGCAGAGATTAGCCCAGGTAAGTTGCGACTTGAGCTGCTACATGAATCATCAAACACCCACTGAAATTACTTAAAACACGGTGTTAAATAATGAGAGAGAACAACTGAATATGAGGCTGCAAGGAATGTCAACTTTCTAGTTCTGCCAGCAACACTCAGATAGTGACATTGTGCTTATGTTGAACAGTGCAGGTGGTTTGAAGTGTGACGTTACAGTCATCTTCTTACAAAAATAAATGTGTACAAAGATGCGGTGAAGTGCTTTTACCCAGAGCATGTTTGAGTAGGCTGCTTGACTGCAAAAATGAAACAACTGTTAAATCATTATCAAATGAAGTACCTGTATTTGTTTTACGTTCAAAAAGTGAATGCCCATTTTCTAGACAAGTAGCACTGCTGCTTTTGAAGACTTCAAGGAGTAACAGGTTCTTTTTCACTTGTTTGAGAAGTTCTGTAATTGGCCTGTATTTAAAAGATTTTGGTAGAGGAGACTGTTCTTTTAATCAGGACTTTAAAAAAAGTAGCATGCAAAGGACTTCTGCAATTAGTATATGGTTAACTTCAGGGGCAGTCCCTTACCTGTGGTGCTGCAGCCTTTATCCCAGGTGCCAGGAGCAGTTGTGGAGCTGCCCTGCCAACACTATCCTATCAAATGGGTGACCATAAATAATGACTATTGCTGCACTACAGGTGAGCAAACCAAGAGAGTTACAAGCCTCAAAGGGTCTTGTTAAAGTCAGAATGTTGGAACTGCTGGCTACAGAATGTGCCTCCTCCTCAACAAATGATCACTTAAGCCTTTCTCAGCGTGGATATGTTTACTCGTACTGTAGGTGGCAAAAGCAGTGTCCCACTCCTTGAATAACTGCGTGAATTGTCTGCCTGGCCAAAAGGATGTGGATGTGGCCTTGAAGAGTATTGGGGAATCCAGCAAGAAGCTCCTTGTTGATTCGGTGAGATGTCTTGTAACATAGAAATAAATTTCAGAGAACTGTAAGGCAGATCTGTGTCAGATTCTCATTTAGTACATGTGCCCTAAGTATACATAATACAAATTTTGCTCAAGTTTGTGCAACTTAAAGTAGCTGCTACCTTGGCTGAAATGGTGTTCTTATAGTGTATGGGAAAGGTGAAATATGGCTGTGGCTTGGGAAGGCAGTATTAAAGTCCATGTCATGGATCACCATTAGTTTGGTTTTTTCAAAATGCCAGCTGTGACTTGACATTTTGAAGAATATGACAATTAGAAAATGAGAATCCATCTCCCACCTAAAAGTGATGAGTTCAGTCTAAAGGAGTGTTGTGGTCAACCAGCAGATGTTTGGTGCACGTTAAGGTCATTTTGTACAAGGAGAAGAATTGTTGTATTTCTGTTTAACTGCATCCAAGTCAAAAAAAGCCCCTTTGTGCGCGGGTAATTCGCCAGAAGGTTATATGATTTGAACAGCTTTTTTTTCTGCACCTACCAGTGATCCTGCTGCCCTGTGAATGAAGGAAGGATTATATTTTGATGTGTTTGTGCAGGTTTTGGTAAAACCAAGTCAGGAGTTTAGAGTCATTCTGAAGAGCTGCCAATACTTGTATGGTGTTCTGGAAAGCTTGTTTGTGGCAGTGAATGACGACTTGGAGACCAAATGCTCCAACTTCTGCCACCGAGTTCATCACTTGGAATTTCATACTTGAATCATAAAATAACTATCATTATCTGCCCCTTGAAAGGCACATTAGGTACTTGTCAGTCCCCTGAAAGAAACATTAGGACTACGGTTGTATAGATTCTGGTTGATAAGGTGTCCTGTAGTTGGACTGTTCCGCACTCGGAACTGAATCATTAGCAGTCCAGTTGCAGTATTTCATTTTAGCTTGTATATGAGACTCACTACTGTATTACATTTGGTGTTCTTGAATTGTGTTGGGCTTTCCAGTTGTGAAGGGCTGATGTGATGTGACAGATAATAAAATACAGCACTTGGTCTCTTACAGCTACCTCCAAGTTCAAAGTCATTTCAAGAAGCTCAGAGTGAACTGAACCAGGCAGCAGCAGACCTGAATCAGTCAGCAGGAGAAGTTGTTCATGCGACACGGGGCCAAAGTGGGGAACTGGCCGCAGCCTCTGGAAAATTCAGTGATGATTTTGATGAATTCCTGGATGCTGGTATTGAAATGGCTGGCCAAGCACAGGTGAGTTTTATCTTGCTGATTGAGACCAAGGGTTATCTTGGGCATACTGTCTTGCAGTGAAGTATCTTGGTTATCTAGTAGCACAGGACAGTGTGCTAGTGTGAACCTGTGCAGATATGATGGGTGATGTTTGTTATGAAGCTATCATCTGTAACTGGTTATCCAGACTAAAGTTTTACACAGGATACTGGTGTTTGTTCCTGTGCCCAATAAGAAATGTGACTTTGTGCTCCTTTGTGTAATTTGGGCTCTTTAACTAATTTGAGCTGTATGTCTCAAGGTACAAAGGAAGTGTTGCTTCTATTTTGGTAAAACTACCATGGAGCATAATTTATGTGAACACTATTCAAAATTCAGTATCTTTCTTTGCTAATTTTCAAGTGCTTTAAGTAGAGGGAGGAAAGATGCATTTATATTGCTCTATAGTGCATGCTGCTATGGATCTGACAGCAAGTACTTGGACTTCTTAGTGATTTAAATCTGGCAGAGTTCTATCCTGATGAACTCGGTAACAATAAGGAATGTTGTCACGTATTATTCCTAGCTTATTCCTAGTAGTCTAAATACTCATTTGAAGTTGGAGTTAGCTCCTTCATTTTATCTTACTGGGTTCAAGTGTACTGAATTACACTAATTGGTCATTTGGAGATGATTTAGCTTAACAAATGTCAGCATATAAAAAAGGGTCATGTACCAAGAGAGCTGGGAGGACTTGCAGCGAAGAGTCTGCAGACTGTTTTGCCCTAATTAATAGGAGGAACTTGCAAACCTAAGAAATTCTCACCAAAAGAAAACTAGCCAGAAAGTCCTTTGAAGTCACTTATGAAGTGTCTCCTTAGAACAGATGCTCTGTAGATAAAGCTGAGTAGAGAGATTGGACAATAACTGCTTATTACTCTGCATCGAAACTTAATTATTCTATTTTCAGATCCAAGAAGTTAGGCAGGCACCAAATATCAGCTGATTCTCTGAAACTGAATAGGAGTCACGTAGGTGACTATCTTTATAGCCACAGGCTTCACTGGCTTTTGGTATGTTTTGTTTGAGGCAATTCAATGAAGGCAAAAGTAGAAATGATACCGCAAATAGCAGTTTGAAAAGAGAATTCCAGCTGCTGCTGTCCTTGTGGCCCTTGTGGATTTGCTTACCCTGCTGACCTGGGGGATGATAACCATCTTAGCTATGAATGGCTGATCTTTCAAAAGAGAATGCCTTCTGTCTTTGCCCAGTTATTTGGCCTGAACAGAAGCCATACAGGTATTTTGAATGCTCAGCAAAATGCTGGGGTAAGGAGGAAGCAAAGAATGTAAATATTGAGTGAAAGCTATTCACATCAGCCAAGTAATATACCACCTCTTTACAGGAAACCCTGAACAGACTGTTAGAAAGATTCACTTCTGAGCACTGACAGAAGAATCTAGTCACAGCTATTTGTTGTGGTAATGCAGCCCTTCTCTGTAATTGTATGTATATGCAGGTTCTCCTTTTCAAGCAGTGCCTTAAATAAGTAATAGAACATCCAAGTCAGAATGTTTACCAAATTAGGCTTGTAGAAATGTCATTTCTTGGGATAGAGGACTATCTGGAGGGATCTTTTTGTGTGAGTAATCACAGTTAGATGCTAGAGGGCCCGAGGGTTGGTTGCAGAGGATGCTAGAATGCAGAGAATCTACAGTGAGTGAATAATGTGGATCAGGCAGATCCACATATCTCTGTGCCAGGCAGAGACACATGAGAGTCTTGACAACAAAAGCATTGTTCAACAAGTAGTAAAGTTTCTCCGTTGCTCATTTGTGAATACTGCCATTGTTAGAAACCAAGCTGGTTGTTGTATGGGCTGCTGCTTCTGTAATGTAAGTGAAGCTAGAGGCACCTGTCTGGGTGCAGAGGCTTTGGTCCATGTCCTCCTCTTGAACGTGGTCCCCTGCATGCCCATGGTTTCAGCTGGATGAACAAGCTGCGTTTCTAAATGTGCTTTTGGCACACTGTCTTGATTGCAAACTCTGCACCTAATATTATGCTGCTGTGGCTTTCCAGACTAAAGAGGACCAGATTCAAGTAATAGGTAACCTCAAGAGCATCTCTATGGCTTCCAGCAAGCTGTTACTAGCTGCCAAGTCTCTGTCTGTTGATCCTGGAGCTCCTAATGCCAAGAACCTCTTAGCAGCAGCAGCAAGGTAAGGATGTGTTGCTTGCTTTGGGTTTCCTAATATATTTGTTTTCTCTTTGATATTTGTAATGGGTTTATATATTCTTCTGCTATTGACAGCTGAGTGGTTGGAACCTGCAGTTCTATTTAAATGAAAGTAGGCCGGAGGAAAACTGCTTATTTTGGAATAGTGCCTTAACTGGCATAACTTGTTACCTTTGATAGAAATAAGAACTAGCAGTTGAAAAGTTGGCCTGGTTTTTGAAAGGGACTGATGTGTTTTACCTACTGGGGTTTTTACTGTCTGTGTTCTGACAAGGCAGTAGCTAACAGTAAGCCTCCCAATTGCTAACAAAGAAAATAAATTGAATTTAATAAGGTTCTTATATAGAATGTGCTTAACAGTCACGTTGTGGCTACCTATCACTAACAGTGTGTATGTGTGACTACACTAGCTACCTATCCCTAACAGTGTGTTCAAGAACACTCGCTAGGGTTAGATGCTTTGTTTGTTTGATGGAAGATATAAAGTATTCTGTCAACCTTGACCTGAATTTCATCTTTTGGACTCTGTTCCTCAGTCAGGGTGCTCTGTGTTTGTGTGAAAAATAACACTGCATTTCAGTGTTGGTCTGGATAATGTCCTCTCCTCCACTTTGTCAAATGTTTTTCACAATTATTTTCCAAATTAAGTTTTTATTCAGTTATCTAAGTTTGTAAATGCAATGCTCAAACTGAAGGACAGATAGACATCACACCTAGAAATGCCAATGTAAATCAGATGAACGCCTGAGATCGTGAGGATGTGATTAATATTGTCTTCAAAATGTTTAAACTACAAAGATCAGCTGAGGGGTGATGTAAGTGTTCCTTCTTTAGGGATAATGTAGTTGATATTTGTCCTGGACCTTGTAGTCATCCCTTTCTAATAGCAATAACTTTAATTTAAACTCCTTTAATAAAGGACTTGTTAAAGGGGTTATGCTGATTTATTTGTCATATTTGTTAAATAGATAAATAAATTCTGATATCCATCTTGTCACCCCATAAATAAATAGCTTCTAGGAAGACTGTAGGTAATCCAAGGCATGCTGCTCGAAAGTGGAGTTGTATGAGCTTTTGTTACTGCTGCAGTATCAGGCTGTTTAAACTCCTTTAATAAAGGACTTGTTAAAGGGGTTATGCTGATTTATTTGTCATATTTGTTAAATAGATAAATAAATTCTGATATCCATCTTGTCACCCCATAAATAAATAGCTTCTAGGAAGACTGTAGGTAATCCAAGGCATGCTGCTCGAAAGTGGAGTTGTATGAGCTTTTGTTACTGCTGCAGTATCAGGCTGCTACAGATTTCTGCTTTAGGCTTGGAGCATTTCTGCTTATTCCTGCTTGGGGCACAGAGGAAGTTAGTGTCCCCGGTGAAGCTCAGTTAGTTGTTAGTTTCTGCCGGGCTGGTATTCCCTTTGTAGAAGCACATAATCAAAAAGGGAGACAAGCCATTTAGGGCCTTTAGCCGTTCTGTTCTGCTGTGCTGTTCGCCTCTGGATGTGTGTCTGCATGACTGCGTACGACTAGACATCAGAGAACCATAAAAAGTCAATAGTGGAACAGTTCTCAGTTTGTGTGTAAGAGGCTAAGGGGACACCAGATTTCCCTTCTCAAATCCTCCATGCCTGATTGTGACAAGCTTGCCAGGGCTTGGTTCTCCTTCCCTCCTATGACATGGTCAAGGTCAAGTATTTTTACTTCTTCTCTTTCTTTTTGCTCTGGAAATAAACATAAAACCTGGTGTATGTGTAATAAGCTCATTCTGTTTCCTTTTGTACCAGTGTGATGCCATCCGTCTTAGGTAATCATGTTATTTGGTATAACCAACATGTTATGAAGTGCCAATTTTCTTAAAGAGAAAATAGCCCGAATGCCATGCAGAGTTTTCAAGCCAGAAGAAAGCATATCCTCCGTGCTCTCCCCTTTCACTCAGTTTCTAATTGGCCATGACATACAACACAAAACCACCTGCATTCCACTATAATGTCACAATGTAAGCTAAGCTTTTGCAAACTGGGGACAACATGCCTAGCCAGAGAAATTATCTTTCATTAATGACAATGAATGGCATACTTCAACTTCCTCCTGCAAAGCCTTTTCTTGTAGAAGCTGCTTTCCGTGTTAGCCTTTAGTCTAAAATGAATATAGTTATGATGAATGTTGCTCAATATCAGAACGTTCATCAGAAACATGAATAGTGACTATATTGTATGTCTCAGCCTGTGTTCAAGAGTGCTGGAACTGTGAACTCCCATAGAAACATAATGCAAAAATATCTTGTTCTGTGTGGATTTAAACCTCAGAATGTCAATGCTTAGTGAAAGAGAAAAAACCCAACTTGATAACAGGCTATAGAAATACACAGCAGGATTGTGTGTGTATAACACAGTATGTCAGACAAGGCACAGGACTTTGTTAGCAAAGGGTATATGTGATTATGTTACATTCAAACAGGTTTTGACGTACTTGCCACTTATTTCTGTGTCTTTTAAGACTCATGGGGTGCAGTTGAGAAATGATTCAGTTAATGCCAGACCTGGAGAAGTGCTAAAGTACCTTTTAGCAGTGAAGTTGAGCCATGCTGCTAGTGCGTGTGCTGGCCTGCTTCCAGGTGGTGTTCTGCTCTTTCTAACCCATGTTTTCCCAGAGGTGGCCCTGGCTTTGGCTGCTGGGCTCAGCTGTGTCCTGCGGTAGGTCTGTTGGAGTGTCTGCACCCAGCTGCATGGAGCAGCCCTTGGCCTCTTCTCACAGAGGCCTCCCTGCAGTCAAAACCTTGCCACAGACACCCAATACACTTGTTGCTGTGAGATGAAGCCTCTGTTTCTTCTGGACTAACTTCTCAATTGTTTGCACTGAAGGGATAGATTTTCAAGTGTGCATCGCTATCAAATGTCTTGGTGAGAATGTTCTTTGCTCTTCCGTAGCTTGTTAAAGAGGAGGTCTCCAGGTGAGCTTTTTAACATGCAGTTATCCCCAAACACTGGAAAGAAAAGGTGTAGTAGAATATTAAAGTTCCAAATCCTTATGCCGTGTACAGTTAATGAAACAAAGCCCTAATAAGAGGAATGGCTTAATTTTAAAGTATACCTTTTTTCCTTCTACTCTCCCTAGAGCCGTAACTGAGAGTATAAACCAGCTCATCACACTGTGCACCCAGCAAGCTCCCGGGCAGAAGGAATGTGATAATGCTCTCAGAGAACTGGAGGTATTACTACGTTTCAAAGCTGCTGTAGCATCTAGAACTTCAGGAAACACTTACCTGAGAAGGACAGTTAGTGAGAGGAGTCTGGGTGTATGGAACTAGATGAATCTCAAAGAAAAGGGAAACTGAGGCAAAGCCACGTAGTCCTGAAACCAGACTGGAGGGCTCACATCGAAGTGAGCCAAGGAACCTCCCAAACTTTGGGGAAAGCAGTCTTAACTTCCAATTTCTCTTTAGAATTATTAAGTTCTTCCTTTTTCCCTTTATTTCCCCAATTCATTGCCTGGTTTTCAGGCTCTGTCAATAATCAGAGTTTCATTCATTATTTCAGACAGTTAAGGGAATGCTGGATAACCCCAATGAACCTGTGAGCGACCTGTCGTATTTTGACTGTATTGAGGGTGTAATGGAAAACTCGAAGGTAATTTCCTTTTCCCACCTCTGTGCCATTGTAAAGTGCATTTTGATAATCTGAAGTTTCCACGTGCATATCAAGCATATTAGAAACACAACACAGTGTTTATGGCTACAGTATATGCTGCATCCCTTGATAAAACTGAGCCTGAAACAAGTCTCTTACAGGTAAATTCAGGTTTTGGTCACTTAAAAGGCATATTGTTGTGGTAAGAAATTTTTAATGAAGTGACTGCTACGCAGTGCTGTTGAAGTTTACCACGTTCTCCCTTCCTCTCTTGTGCATTAGACAGCATGTCATACTTTCACGATATATTTCAACTGCAGCTATGGTAGAACAGCCCAAAGCACAAATGGGAGGCCTGGCAATGAAAAGCCATTGTATTGTTCTGTGCAAAATAGCTTAGGGAAGTGTCTGAGCAGTCCAGATATTCCAGCTCGTCAGAAAATCTGTGTGAAATCTCAGAAGTTATTTTTAAACATCCCATGCTATACATCTTCTTTTGAAGCTTTGCGTTTGATGTTCTTATTATTTGATGTGTTGGAATCGTCTCAGATCCTTCCTTCTCTAAAAGAAAAAGAGCAAGCCTAATAGATGTACACGTTATCTTGCAGCTAATGCTCTACTGCAGCCAGACCTTATTTGGAATTTTAAAAGAAAATAAACTGAATTCAGGGGGAGACACTGTGGGAGTTAATGTGTATTCAGTGTTGATCTGTGTGCCTTGTCCAGCATGGCACACACAGCAATGGGCCTGTTTCAGTGAAGTCATTAACTAGCTAAAATTGCTGCTAGCTGGACGAGAGAGGCTTGTGGGCCAGAACTGGCTCAAGGCCAGGAATCACTTGCTTTTGAGTGACAGGGAAGTGTACTGGGAAGGTAACTTTGGTTTTTAATTTAACAGGTTCTTGGAGAATCAATGGCAGGGATTTCCCAGAATGCCAAAACTGGGGATCTCTTAGTCTTTGGAGAATGTGTTGGAGTAGCATCCAAGGCTCTCTGTGGCCTCACAGAGGCAGCAGCTCAGGTAAGCTTCTGAAGTTTGTAAAGCAAGTTTATGTTCTTGTTTTAAGCAAGCTCATGTTGTGGGTGCATAAATGGGAGATTCTTGTCCTTGTGGCCAAACAAATGATGACCTTGTAGTGCATGGCATGCTGTGTGTAGATCCACAGAGATCGGGCGTACACTGCTGTATGCTGCTGAAGCAGCCGAGTGCAATAATGTGCATATTTTATAAGGAAGGAAATTGACATCAAGAAGGAAACTTTTCTGAGGAGAAAGCAAATGTCAAAGCTGCAGCATATGGAATTCATGTTTGCAGCTCAAGCTCTGAACTGTTACATCATAGTGAAGCGCACAAAAAACACCCACAGTTAAAATGAATGAATCAAGTTTGATTTAGTTAAGGAGCACTACTGATTTCAGCCATTTTTAATGATAAGCAACCTGTTTCAGCTGTTCAGACGTTCTCAGAATAACCAAAATTCTTCAGCTACTACAACAAATCAGAGTCTGGAACTGGTCACTGGTTTCACTGATCTCATAACTGGGTGACTTAAGTCTTAAGAGCTGGTACAGCTTCTTCAGTGAAGGATTTGGGTGTTGAGATTTGTGCTCTGCATCTGCAAACCATATCTTGATTTCCCTGCATATGGAATATCGCAGTGTGCACTTAATCTCCTGCATGTCTAACCCTGGCATACCAATGTAACAGATAATTCTATCTGTAATGGAAATTGATCAGGAAATCTTCAAAAATGGTTTAGATAGTTCAGGCAGTTCTTCCTTGTTGAGAGGCATGAAACTTCTATTTAATTGAGGAAGTAAGTTTGGCCATCAGACATCTTGAGCTGCAGCGAGACCCGTAACTGCAGACTTGATGGGTCCTATGCTCAGCAGTAGTGCATTTGCTATGAATTGATTTCGTGCTCAGAATTGATGAAAACCCTCACTATCTTCACTGTAGCTAATCCAGTAAATAATTTGCTGATGCTTGTGACCGTTAAACTTTTTCCACTGGCTGTGCAAGTGAAAGATAATGTTTCCAGAGATACCAGCTGCTTAAACAGGGGACAGTTTTCTTGACTGTTTTAGTGACTAAATAAATTCACAAGTGTAAGGGTAAGTTTTCTCAGTTTCAGAGTATTATGGGGATTTATTACTAAGAAAGTGGTGATAGTACTTGCTGGTATGATTTCTGGATAATCTCAGACCACCATGTGCAAGCTTATCACAGAACCAAGATGGATTTAGCATTGTTTCTTAGGATTGTTTTCTTCCTTTCTCCATTTCTAGGCTGCTTACCTGGTTGGCATCTCAGATCCAAACAGTCAGGCTGGTCAGCAGGGTCTAGTTGACCCAATTCAATTCGCCAGAGCCAATCAAGCAATTCAAATGGCCTGCCAGAACTTGGTAGATCCAGCAAGCAGCCCCTCACAGGTGATTCCAGTGGATTGCAGCAATACCATCATTGTTAGGACACGTGGCTTTGCTTCAGCTGTGACCAAGCGAAAGAGTTGCGGTTTGAAACTGTTGCGTGGCTTTGAACTGTGACTTTGCAGACCTGAGCATAGTAACTGTCATGCTCCTTTGACAATCGGTGTGTTTTGTGCCATCTCTATTTTTACAGGTACTATCAGCTGCCACAATTGTGGCCAAACACACTTCTGCTTTGTGCAATGCTTGTCGCATTGCTTCATCAAAGACAGCAAATCCTGTTGCCAAGAGACACTTCGTGCAGTCTGCCAAGGAAGTTGCAAACAGCACTGCTAACCTGGTGAAAACTATCAAGGTACAAATACAGCAGAATAATTGTGCTGCCTTCTCCCTTTGTGTGCTTATTTCTTTTCTTTCTTTTTTTCCTGTTGAAGCCAGTTAGAATTACCTTTTTGCCTTCTGTGATATGTATGGTTTAAGAATCATTAGTTATGTTTTGAAGACCTGAATTGGGAAACAAGTTCAGTGGTATAACTGTGCTGTAGTCAAGATGGAAAGAATACTGATATACTTGGGTGATATTAATATTACAAGAGGCAGCTGCCCCATCCAGATGAGACATCTCTGTTTGGATGTGGTCAACAAGCTTGTACTGTGAGAATAATTTGCAAATAACTGAATGTGAAGGTCTTTAGTGTCACGTTGCCTACTATCTGTAGGCTTGTGAAGGTATTTCTGGCAGCTTTACCATATTTATCAGAGAAAAATAAAGAAACAAATAATGCTGGGAACCAAACAGAAGCTCTTTGTGTTGCTGTTCTTGAATAGTCTCCTGTTAATAGTAATCTTTTCTATTCCAGATACCTTCCTGCAATTTGGCAGGAGGTAGTATTTCCTCATGCAAGCAGAAATAATACTTGTTAAGCTGTAGAGGTCTCACGGTTCTAAACTCCTGTGTGAAGCCAGTAGCTGATCTGCTACTGAAAGTCTTTGAAAATAGTTATGGTCTTAGGACTGGAAAGTTTTGTTAGGTTACACAGAAGGTCCTTCATATTGAAATCTTTCCTATGAGATGATTAAAAAGGTAGTTGCCTTGTGAAAATGAGAGCAATAAATTATTAGTTATAAAAATAAAATAAATGAGTTCACAGGAAAGAACCACCTTGTTAGCCACTTCCACCCTTTGGAGCATGAGGTGCTGAGACACAATTGGTGGGTCACCTGAGTGCTGTGATAGACAGAAAGTCCTGTGAAGCAAAGCAGCAGTTTTAAGTTTAGGGTTAATACCAGCTAAAGAAAGAAACACACACTTAAATGATTGTGTTCTTTGCATCAACCTTGTTTGTGGAAAAACTTTCCACTGTCATAAACACGCAACAGTTTAAACTAGAAGAATTAAACCATCTTCCTTCAGTTTTGCAAAGAAACCTGTTCAAACAGAACTCTATCATGATTTGATTTCCAGGCTCTGGATGGTGATTTCTCTGAAGAGAACCGCAACAAGTGCAGAGTTGCTACTGCACCTTTGATAGAGGCTGTAGAAAACCTGACAGCATTTGCCTCAAATCCAGAATTCGTCAGCATACCAGCACAGATCAGCACTGAGGTAAGGCAGGAGGTGGCACTTCCACCCTCCAAAAGTTGAAAACGTTGAATTAGTTCGTGTGCTAGGAGATAGGAAGCGAGTGTAAAGACCTGGCCCCAAAATGTCTCTCTGCATTTCTGGGTGTTCCTGGGGCATTCTGCTGTCTTTTCCTTAACCTCTGACGTGGAATTTTGCACCAGTAGGATAAAAGCAGTTGGGCTACAGTAAATGCTGCCAGTCTGCTCTTACTGAAGTGATACACAGTATGGGGGACTCTGGTAGCTGGGTTATTCCATATGATAAAGTAATAAATATCATTTTTTCCCTTAAGAGCAGCTTTAACAAATGGAACCTAGTTAGTTCTGAAAAGGATTGAAGGGGTGTCACTGGGGTTTGCCCTTCCAAAAATGACATGGTCATGATAACAAGAAGCAGCTTTTCTGGGAAGAAGAACTTTCTGTATTCTCTCACCCCATCCTCTGTAACTACGAATGTGCCCTTCTAAACTTGCAAAGTGTTTCTTAAGTATGGCATAGAGAAAACAGTTGGACTGCGATGATTTTGGTCCTTATTCCATGTTGGCTATCTGTGAATATAATAGTATGATAAAAGACATTATGCCATTTTAATGCTGTTAATTAAACAGATTTTTAGTAGCAGAAAGTGTGAATGAATTCAAATAATTACTTAAACGTTGTGTTCTTGTACCTTTCTGACCACAGGGATCACGAGCACAGGAACCAATTCTAGTTTCTGCTAAAACAATGTTGGAGAGCTCATCTTTATTGATCAAAACTGCTCGTTCTCTGGCTATCAATCCAAAAGACCCTCCTACATGGTCTGTACTAGCTGGGCATTCCCATACTGTCTCAGACTCTATCAAGAGTCTTATCACCTCTATCAGGTATGTCTTTTGTAATAACAAGAATGTAGTAATAATTGAGTAGCTGCTCATAAAGAATAATACTACATGGCCAGTAGAACTGTGGTATTCTTCACTAATGTGAATTACTTACTTTGGCATGCACAGTATCTCCCCAGTTACACTGGGTGTTTGCTCATAATTGATGACTTCAGCACTCTGCAGCATAGATTGCTGTAGCAAGAAGTGAATGGTGTTCATTTTTTGGCCTAAACCCGTCTGTCCCTTTCTTAATGACAATTTTAAAGCGTAGTTCTATGCTTAACCTCTTAATACTGATTAAATCGAAATGGTCTGAAAGCAGTGAACCAAGGAGTCTTTACAGTTTTGTGCTGAAAATAGCAAACTGCATGTCAGGACAAAGTACTCGGGAACTAACCTTGGTTAAAAGAAACCTGGGACTGAACATAACACCTAATACTTCAGGAGTTCTTTCCTCAGACAGTCAATTGCACTGTACAGAATCATGACTGTTTTTTCCCAGTGTCTTTTGCATTTTCATGGTGACCTTCATTATGGACCACCCGAGCTCATTTCTTCTGAAGCAGCAATGTTTTTCCTGTGTAATCATGGAGAGGAGCCGTGTGTGTGTATGAAAGCATGCAGAGTACTTTGTACATGTATCAGAATCCCATAGGTAGGACAAAGCTAACTTTTACCCTGGTGCTGTCCTCCCATGTGCCTCACATGTTGTCAGGTAAAGAAGTACACTGGTGTGCATTCCCGAAGAGCCTGCCTCCTCCCCACCGTGCTCACGTTACTCTCTCTGTCTTCCAGAGACAAGGCCCCAGGCCAGCGGGAATGTGACTTCTCCATTGATGGGATCAACAAATGCATCAGAGACATTGAGCAAGCCTCCCTTGCAGCTGTCAGTCAGAGTCTGGCCACCAGGGACGACATCTCGGTTGAGGTACGGGAGGTGGCACAGGAACAGATGGAGTAGCGCTGAGCAGCCCGGCTTGCCCTGCTGCTCTTCATGCCATTTGAAGATCTGGAGCGGAGCACTCGGCAGTCTGCTGCCAGTGAAGGGAGAAGTATTCTTACTGGAATGTTTCTAGGCAAAATCACATGCTGGACAAATGACGTCAGTTCTGGGAAGACACCAGAGTCACCAGGCAAAAGTAGGGGTGAAAGCAGTGATTTTAACCACCAGCCATGTATTTCTCTGACTTCCTGTGCTGGTATGACCAACTGATAGTGTTTCTCTGCTGCCTTGCTGTGTGGAAGTTGGGATGTTTCTGAAACTGACCTATTAGTAGAAGTCCCGTGATGTCCATGTCATTTTTCTTAATGCCTGTTTTGTCATTAAATAAGTGAGATCTGAAGTTGGTGTAGATAGGGTATCACGAAAAAGCTTCCTGTACTGCCCGCCAAGGTAATGTAGGTCAATACTGTCCTATTTCAGCCTTAAGCTCATTGAGGAAGGGCCAGTGTGCCAGACTGCCTACAAAGAGTCAGCGGCTCGTGATAGATTCTCATCTTGGTATTTTGTGTCTTTCTGTACTATTGCTTCCTGACATTACATGTCTATTCCTGTATTCCAGTGGTTTCTTGGGCTGTAATGCTGCATACTAGAAACATCTCGGACTAAATGAAGCTGTACAAAAGAAGTTACTACAGGAAATCCCTCATAGTTACAGTTCTTTTCTATTCCAGTGATGAAGTCATCCTGGACACCCTGTCAGATTGAAATAAAGTTACTGAAAATGGCAGTTACTTATAGAGCAAATGGAACATAACAAAGTGACCAAATACTATCTCTCTTCTCTTGCCTTTCAAGAGAGTGAGCTACCAAGTGACTGCCAGGACATTAAGTGTCACTGAATTAGCAGCCAGTACTTATGTCTCAACAAGCCCACTAACATGCTTTTTGGTTTGCTCCTGTCCCGCAGATGGTAGTCATGAGGTCAGACCTCATCTCTGTCGCTCAGAGATGTTGTATTTTGCCTTTGTCTTTCTTACCAGTGAATTTCTCCTGTTAGCTTCAAAGTCTACAGCAGAGCTTTTTGCTCCTGTGCTGTGTGTATGTAAATTGGAGCTCCTGCTGGTTTCTCTTGCCATTATGGATTTAAAGAGGGGCAGGCTTATCTCAGGGTTCTTGTTGAAACAGGGCAAAGGAGAAGAAATGAGCAAGTATTGAGCTGACAGCATGGATTTTTGCATCTGACTGTAGTGAGTCATTTGAACAGTGTTCTGAGTATGTTGGTTGGTCTGAGGGTGGTTGTTAGGATATGGTATAACTTGATAAAAGAACAGCTGTAATAGTAACTGACAATTTCTCTTTATATTAGGCTCTACAGGAGCAACTGACATCAGTCGTCCAGGAAATTGGCCATCTCATTGATCCCATAGCTACTGCAGCTCGGGGAGAGGCAGCTCAGCTTGGGCACAAGGTACTGACCCACCACTGCAAAGGTATTTGAAGTCTCAGACAACTGGATGTTAGGACAAGACCATGATTTAGCAGCTTTGTCATTTCCTATTAAAGACCAGAAGAAAGCATGTGGGAGGAGGAAAAACCAAGGATTTCCAAATAGTTGGAGCTGAGACTAAATAAACCTGTTTATGTTTTGGGTCCTGTATTATAGGAAAGATACTTTAATTGAGGTTTTTGGTGAGGAACGTGTTTGTAGCCAAAGGAAAAATGAAGAAAGGGAAGGGAAAAGCAAGGGTGGAAGGGCAGAGTGCTGTGTTACAGGTCTCCCTCCCTCTGGCTGTTGGAACTAGTAGCTGTGTGTATGTATAGGTCCTCCTGTCTCCAGGACTCCAGTAACTCAGTTTACCTTTGGATAACCATAAAATATTTCATACTATCAACTATTTGCAGTTTTGATTCTCAGTTTCCCTGGCCCTTTGAGGTGAACAACAAATCGTGATTGCAAAGATGCAGGTAGTTAGGGAGGCACATTCCTCCTGCTTGTTAGGCAAATGTTGACCGAAGTCCACAGCACTTTCCTTGAGCATGTGGCTCATATTTTGACAAGGATTTCATCTGAGCAAGAGGGACTGTGTGCAGCTGAGGGAGGAGACACGTGGCTTCATTGAGGGATGTGAAGGTGAGAGGAGACGCAGTCATGCTGGCACATAAAACAAAGTAAATGCTGTGCAGTGCAGATCCACTAGGACAGTGTGCTCCTTTAGCTAACCCATGGCCCGGTGGTTAATCAGGGAACAGGGTTACACCTCAGAAACGGGGTTAATGGCTTCCTGTGGCTGTTCTGGCTTTCTTAGGTAATGCAGCTGGCAAGTTACTTCGAACCCTTGGTTTTAGCCGCGGTTGGCATGGCATCCAAAACACTGGATCATCAGCAACAGATGACCGTGTTGGACCAGAGCAAGACACTGGCAGAATCTGCCTTACAGATGCTGTACGCTGCCAAAGAAGGGGGAGGAAACCCCAAGGTACGTTTGCCGTGTGTAATGAAGGGATTATTGGAGAGGGTGGGTGGCTGCGGGGAGAGAGCATGCGCATCACACAAAGCAGCAGCCACCTACTGCCTGGCACAGGGACACGTTTGCAGTGACAAATGCCATTGACAGCTCTTGTGACATCTCCCAGTGGCAAGCAGGCGCATTTCTGGAAGACAGGATTGCAGTCATGTGCGCATCGTCTTCACAAGGCACAAAGTCTGGGTCTGACAGCAAATGTCTATGCACTGCTAGAGAAACCCACCACCGATGCTTTCAGCTCAGGCATTCTTCCTGTGTCTTTCTCTGAGGGATGCTCTGCTCCCTCCTGGTTTTATTGCTCTCTTCTTTACATTTGTTTTAGGATTTGGTTAGGGCTTTTTTCCTTCTTCTTTGAGTTTTTCACGAGTATCCAAGCAGGTCCCATAAGTAGGTTGTGATCAAAGATGGATGTTTTGGGGGTTTGGTGTCTGTTTCCTTTTACTGCTTTAGAAAACCCTTTGTTGTGGAATAAGTCCATATGGTTTTTGTTACAGACTTTTTTAGACATGTTATTTCACTGCACTATTTTTGTCTTCCTTTTTATGGCAGGCATTTTGTGTTGTTGTTCATATGTCTATATGGGTCCTTTCTGAACATTTGGGGTGGGGTATGGAAGTACACTGAGTCATGGTCTAGTGCTACTTCTGTCTCCCTTTATCTTTGTTGCTCTGTTGTTTCAGAGCTGTTATTGTACTGTCTTCATTAATTGCACTGTTGAGTCACACTTTGATAATGCACAGAATTGTCTCAGATGATCACCGTTTTCTCCTTTTTCTCTCTTCCAGGCGTCCCATACTCATGATGCAATCACTGAGGCTGCTCAGCTGATGAAAGAGGCTGTGGATGACATCATGGTTACCTTAAATGAAGCTGCAAGTGAAGTAGGCATGGTTGGAGGTATGGTGGACTCGATAGCAGAGGCAATGAGCAAGGTGAGTATAGAAATCCAGACCCCCTTTTCATTTTTCCCATTGACGGCCAATCCGCATTGCAGGGATTTGGAAGAGCTGCTGTTTCTTGACAGCAGTGATGGTTGGTGGCTGACATGCTGTGACAGGAAACCTCAAGATTCTTTGACTTTGCAGATGTAAAATCAGATGGATGTGTGGGGTTTGGTGCTCGCGTTAACAACCTGCACAGTACCTGTCAGTAGGATTAATATAACATGTTTTTATTTGGTAATGTGCTGATATTCAAGAGCAGTCTTAGGTCAACTGGCCTCTTATTTTTGCTTCCTTTTCTTACTTCTCTTTCATGTTAGTCTCCTAAATGATAAGCAGGGCAACCTTGAAGCAGACTACTTTCAGAGGAAGATGTCAAAGCCTGAAGTGCTCTGCTATGCCTTGTAAAGTATTCTACTGAAAATGTATAGTTGCAAACTATAAACGAGTTTGATCCAAATAATTGGCCTTTCCTATTGCACGTTAAAAGTGCAAAGGATCTTACAGCACCTTCTTGCAGGAACATTTTCATTTCTAACTGTTGCACGTCCCTTCCTACATAGCCACTACAGGTGGTTTGACCTGCGTGAGAAGTTGACTTCTGCACTCAAAAACTCTGCAGTGTAAATCCTCTGCATCTTCTGTGCTTGTAACATTGGCTACAGTCTTGTCTGAGCTTCACCATGCACCCTGGTGCACTGTCTTCACTTCCATATTTTGAGAGACAGGAGATTATAAATATGAATATATAATACAATTGCATCGTTAAGTGTAAAGCCTGCTTTTAGTTATGACCTTACTATTTCTGCCATATTTTTCCCTCTTTCTTGCAGCTGGATGAAGGTACGCCTCCAGATCCCAAGGGAACATTTGTTGATTATCAGACCACTGTGGTGAAATACTCTAAAGCCATTGCTGTAACAGCACAGGAAATGGTAAGATATTTGGTTAGAAGAAAGTACAAACCCTTCTGTGTACATAGGGAAGGTGGAATGATTTGCACAGTGCTGTGAAACTCTGTGTGATGCTAATTTTCAATGCCCATATCTCTTTAAGGGTAATGGAACAAAGGAAGAGACGATTTTGTCAGGTTCACTCTTGGATCTTTGTGGCTTCATCATAGGGGTGGCCCCCTACAGGAGGAGTGCTGCATCCTCTTGTGGCTCTTCTGCACAAAACGTGTTCATTTGGCTCATTTCCTGTGAGAAATAAAAGGAAAACATTTTACCTACACGCTTCTTCATCAGCCTCTTTAATTGTCCCTGAAATACCACCTCACATTTACTGATGACTTCAGGTTACACTTTCACACTTACTGTTTCACTTAGCCTGTGAAATAACATCAGTATTTTCAGACCCCCGTAATACTTCAGAATGAACAGAGAACAACATCTTACATTGTTCTTTTCTTGCATTTCTGGTTCACCTGGGTTGCACAAAAGAAGACAGGACACGTGTTGAATGGAGATGTTCTTAACTCACCTTTCGCTGTAATGCCTACCACGTTTGCTTTCTGAAGAGCACCTTCCCTTGCTTGTTTGGTTTTGGGGGAGGCAAGGGGACTATTTCTGTGTGCTACAGAGTTTTTGCAAAATGGGTTGCTGTTGCAGTCAAGAAAGGTTGATGATTCTGCGACCTGTGACATTGCAGCTTACTGGCAAACAGTGTATGTTTCTCTAAAACTAGTTTTGCCCCAAGGATGGAATTCCATCACTTCTACTAACATGAACTGGAGAAAGAAGTAGTATCTGTTAAAAGGCAGGCTTATATGAAAGAGAGATCCAGTTCTGGCTGTGACACAAAACCCGCTTCGCGGCCCGGTCCAGGTGGCTGTGTACCTGGCCCGTCACCCTGCTGTGTCAAAGAGAGAATTATCAGCTCTAACTGCTGCTCTTTGATTACTCCCTATGTTCTGCAAGTGCCTGGTTACCGTGATTCTAATAAAGCATGTTTGCTTGAGTTGCCTCATGGAATTCTTGCTGGAGGACAGGTCCCTTACATTGCAAGGGGTTTACCCCATTTCATCAGTGTGGCCAAACAAATGACTGTGCTTCTGAGCTGGAGTGTATTAACAAATTATTCTCATGCCTGTCATTTTTGTTTTTCTCTCGCCTGTGTTCTTTTTCCAGATGACTAAGTCGGTTACTAACCCGGAGGAGTTGGGAGGACTTGCATCACAAATGACCAATGACTATGGGCATTTGGCTCTCCAGGGCCGAATGGCTGCAGCTACAGCAGAACCAGAGGAGGTCTGCAGTTTTTAGACCTCTTTATTCTCTGTACATGGTGGCATCAACATGGGTATTGTTTAATGGTAGAGCATATAGTAAATACAAAGTGATGAGGGGCATTCGCTTCACTTGGTTGCAACAACACATTTGCAGCCATTGCTGGGTGTGACGTCCCTTGTATGACGAGGCAGATAATCATGTTTTAAACCATCGGGTAACGTGTTTTCTTTCCAGTGTCTTTGCAATGATCTAAAATGACTGCAGTGAACATGTTTCCACTGCCTTTGCTTCCTTAGCCGCTTCTGTACACAAGTACCATCTATACTATGTGTGCTCTGCCTGATGGGCCAGCAGATACACTGCCTCTGGCCCACTGACACTTGACACATGGGGCAGGACAACACATCTGCTCCCAGAAGGATTTCAGTTGGCCATTGCTTGTCTGAGACCGTGACATGATCCGAGGCAACATTACAGGTGTACTTTGGCTATACACATCTTCCTCTTTCACAATCTACTTCTGTTTTCCCTAAAAGCAGACTGTAAGACACAAACTATATGCAGCCAGGCAAAAACTCTATTGAGTTCGTTTTCACTGGACAGAAAAGAACTGATGACCTTAGGGAAATTGTCATTTCAAAACACCATGAAATCTTAGAGTATCACCAGTTATTTACCTGTGTGTGCCATACGTACTGTTTTCTTCTGATAGTTTGAGGGAGATGCCTATTCTAGTCTATGATATTGACCTTTCCCTCCTCCAAATATACTGTCTATCCTGTGAGCCTTCAGAGGCTGGGGCAGAGCTGCACATAGTTCTACAGAGTACATATTTACTGACAGTGCACCTCAGCTTTACCGCTGCTCATGTGCGCAGGTGTGTAACAATATGAATTAGGATTTACTACAAACAATTTTCAGTGAACGTTCAGAACTGCAAACCAGCTTTGCTCCTGTTTTTCTTCAACCTTCCTGTTGATGCTCTCGATATCTGTGTATTGTCTAAGAACAAGTTTTCTTCTGGGAGTGCCGTGAATCAGCAGGTTTTCCGTAACACTTGGGGAGTGCAAATGATGTAATACTTAACTTCGTATTTATGTTACAAGACTTGTTATAAAAATTACCCAATTGAAGAATAGAAACTTTTGTCAAAATTTCTGTCCAGCTTCAGAAACAGCTTGTGATAATAGTGGACAATTCTGTGGCCTGCACAGAACCTCCTAAATTACTTGGGGCTTTTGCTTACAGACAATTTCCAAATACAAAGAAAACTCTTAATTATTCACTGTACAGCTTTCCTTTGATCTTACATGTTTTGATGAATTACAACTATTTTTTGTCTTGCCTGTAAGCAATTACAAGTATAGTTTCCTGTCCTGCAAGTGAGTTGCAGGGCAACTAGTAGGAGCTCAAGTGTCTTTTGCTGACAGGACATCTTTTGTACTGCAGAGTACAAATACAGTGCAGGAAAACCAGGTTCCCCCTTACGTGCCTCTCGCAAACAAAGGAATACAGACTATTCCACTCAGTTGCATTAATCTGTTACAGTAGTTGCTGCATATTCTCTGAGCACAATTACATAAATCCTTTCACCTCTCTTCTCATTGTGAGCCTCTGGTTGTGGAGCATGGATAGACTGTGTCAAGATGGGATAAGAGGGTATCTCGCTATCGGCAGATGTATTGGATTACTAGATAAAAGACCTCCAAAGAGTTTGTGTCTTTGTAAGTAGGTTCCACCACTGGTAGACTACTTGGGTGTTTCATGCTCAGTAGCTATGTGAAAAGCAACAGCTTGCTCTCAGTTTGATGTTGTTAAATTGAATTACTATTTCTGCACGTTATTTTCTGCCTCAAGTTGAAATAATTGTTTGTGATACTAATGGCTGTGATTCCGGCTTACTTATCCCAATACACACTTATATGCCTAAGAACATTCAGGTACTAAAACTGTCCCACGTTTATAAGCAGGAGCCCTGCAGCTTATGCTGTAGGTTTATTAATAAATGGGAAGTGGGAAGGGTAGGATTTTCCACATGTAAGTGCTCCACCTGGATGTGATCAGTTCTGGAGACTTGAAACTGTATGAGATTCAGAACCGGTCATATACTGTTTGACCCCCTTTCAGCAGCTCAGAGTAGATGTGTACTTTGGGTACCCATTGTACAGAACTTCAGTACAGCTCACACTGACAGTACGGTGCTGGGAGATGAAGCAGCGTTCTTCACGTGGGGTGAAGTTGTGTCACTTGAATCAGGTACACTTGTTCTGCTTCACTAGTGCTCCTGTTTCATCAGTGAGCCTTTTGTAGGGTACTGCTATGTGAGTAGGTGGTGTCACATCTGTCCCTTTTTTTCTGACCTCTGCAGAGAGCGTAGCAGCAGGTAGAAAACTGGTAATAAAGGTTCCCCAGAGTGACCATGTTTCCATTTGTATTGACAGAATGTACCCACATGACATTTATTTATTCACTTTGCTCTTGCTTCCTTTTTCCCTGTACCTCCTTTACCATCTAGATAGGGTTCCAGATCAGGACTCGGGTCCAAGAACTTGGCCATGGCTGTATCTTTCTTGTGCAAAAAGCTGGAGCTCTGCAGATTTGCCCTACAGACAGCTACACCAAAAGGGAGTTGATAGAATGTGCTCGTGCTGTCACGGAAAAGGTAAGACAATGTAGAGACTGACCAGAACCTCAGGAAGGAACTGTACTATTAGAAGTCAGTGTGCATATCCCCAGGTGGGGGCTAACAAATATGCTAAATCTAAGCATATTCAGTCAATCCTGTCAGAGTTCTGTTTTTCTGATGTTAAAGTTTATATCAGTGTATTGTACGTGACTCCTGGGGTGCTTGAGGACAGTGTTTATTTGCACGTTAGGGGAAAAGTGGTAGCTCTTGACTCTGACATTTATGTTGGGAGAAGTTCACTACATTCTTTCTGAGTGTATTTCAGGGAAGTTATAACTGATGTGCTTCATCCTATGATGAACAGATCATTCTGTCCGAAAAGTGGACTTCCTAGCTGAAGTCCCCTTTAATTTGAGGCAATCCTTAATCACCACAGTGACTGCTGCACAAAGAGAGCAAATAAGGGAAAGGGGAAGGAGAGTTTTACTACAGTTTATTACAGAATGATACTGTGGAATGAATTTCCATTGTTGATTCCAGCCATGTTAACAAGCTTGCTGAACTTGATGTCCCATAATGAGGCTTTCTTCTGACCACCTTGTTGCTTTATGTGGTTTCAGGTCTCCTTAGTTTTATCCGCCCTTCAAGCAGGGAATAAAGGCACACAAGCCTGTATTACTGCAGCGAGTGCAGTGTCTGGGATAATTGCAGATCTGGACACCACTATCATGTTTGCTACTGCTGGAACCCTTAATGCTGAGAACAACGAATCATTTGCAGACCACAGGTCAGTGTAACTGGAAAAGATGGAAGAATGTGTGCACGGGGAACAGTGGAAGTAGTTTAAGTAACCACATGTGGAGATAAATTTTTGCCTTTCTACATTCCTGTGACAGTGGAGTGAGAAGAGAAATGGGAAAATTGGGATAGCAATAAACTACAGCCATCTTCACCTTGGTTCTTTCTGTGAGAAAAGAATTTGGAAAAGCTGGGGAACATCTGCTGAGAGCGCTTCCAGCAGCAGAGCACAACTGTCATGCTGGATTGGCTGGTTTACTTTATTCAAGCCGTCTCATTGCACAGACATGCTGTTATTCCAGTGTTAGTTGTCCGTGACATTAAAGAGGAATCTTCTACATGCTTTTTTCCAACAGCTGTTCTTGACTGGCTGTTTGTTTTGCTAAATCGTGCTTATGGCTAATGCTGTTGTGGACAGCAGTGATGGCAATGGCATGGCTACGCCACACATTTTCCCATTTGGCAGGGATAAGCCCATTTTTCCCTTCAAGTAGCATCTGCAACAAATTAATCCCACAGCATTTTTCATCACATTAAGAGATTTGCAGCATGTGACTGTTACTTCCGTTGCAGTAAAACCCAGGGTCTCACAGCCAAGACCCTGACTTGCTCCTTCACAGCCTAATTGGCCTACGTGACGATTTGTGTGGCCAGAATTTATCCCCTGCCTTGCCAGTTACTCAAGAAAGAGGATAGATGCAATGGTGTGTAAGTTGCCACCATTCTACAGACTGACAGTCAGGGATTTCCATACCGGTACCATCAATTTCCAGGCTGACATTCTACATGAATATGGTTCTGGTTCTCAGTTAATTTGACTTACTTGTGAAGCATGTACTCAAAATGGTTTCTTCTTTTACCCAAACGTTGCTTTGAATTTGTTGTCCTGTCATGTCAAACGTGTATGGGGGGACATGCCCTGACTGGGTCGTGTTCGCTGTTCCTTTTGCTGTTCTTGCTGCTGCCTTCCTCAGAAGTCATTGTTTTCATTTCCTTACAATATGCTGATTAAGATGGAGATTTGACAGCTGTAACTTACCCCACAGCACGGCCAGATGTCTTTTGATGTTAAAATGCAATGCTGTCTTCTGCTGCTGCCCTACTCCTTCCTTTTCAAGATGGGGTCATTTTAATAAACTGCCTTACATCTAACCCAAAATATCCTGCTACTCTTTTAATAGTTGTAGTTCTTATTTTTTTCTAAATTACTATTTATTTACTTGGAAGCTGGCCTGTGGTATAGTATCCTGAGTGAACACTGCCATGATGACTTACATCAGCTCTATTATGTAGCTGTTTGTCACCATAACATTGTAAAGCATGTTACTTTCCTGTTTGCCTTTCCTGCTCCCATCCCAGCTTCCTTACTTTTTGTCCCTACAGGGAAAATATCCTGAAAACTGCAAAAGCTTTAGTGGAAGATACAAAATTGTTGGTTTCTGGTGCTGCCTCGAGTCAGGACAAACTGGCCCAAGCAGCTCAGTCGTCAGCTAACACCATCACTCAACTTGCTGAGGTAGTGAAATTGGGAGCAGCTAGCTTGGGATCTGATGACCCTGAAACACAGGTGAGATGTTTTTCTGATACTTTTAAAGAGACCAGAGACAGTTTTCAAGTGATAAGGCTTTGTGGGACTTCTGTTTTTAAGCAACACAGTAAGGTTCGTATCGTCTGGGACTTCTCGAGGTTTACTTAGACATCACTCTTTGTTGTGTTCCACACTTTCCTTTTCCCCCCTAAGCTTTCTCATTTTTCATGTTTCATTTTTCACAATTTGACCAGTAGTGGTTTTGGGTTTTTTAGCTGTGTTCTCAAAATCATGCCCTCGTCCAGTCCACCCTTTCCTGCCTAAGCCTCACAACTGTTCCGCATTCCTACAGGTTGTCCTGATCAATGCTATCAAGGATGTTGCAAAGGCCCTTTCTGATCTCATTGGTGCTACCAAAGGAGCAGCCAGCAAACCAGCAGATGATCCGTCCATGTACCAGTTGAAGGGTGCTGCCAAAGTAAAACCTTGTTCTTACATTTTATGTGAAAGTATCTGTGCAATCACACTTGATAGACATGCAAAGCTTGGATTTCAGCAATTCCTGATTGCCTGAAATCTCATCTCTTTCTTTGTTTCATTATACAGAAAAATAAGATGATGCTGTTGCGTTCCCATGTAGCTTTCAGTTTTGTAGGCTGTCAGGTCACTTCTGTGATTTTATGAAAGAACTTTTCTGAAGAGAAACTTCTTTCTTTTGCCAGCCTGTATTTCAGGGCAGGTTCTCCTTTAGTAACATTATAGACTAAAATTTATCCAGTATAAAATGGTACCTAAATACTACATTCTAAACAGTAACATGCTCAGGATAGACATGGAGCCTCCTTATTTGGACCTTGTGGCTTGGGGAGGGAAGGGAAAAAAACCAACCCTCCAGTAACACTGCAGTAGGATATTGTGGGGTTCTGATTCCTCTGTCCTAGGTCTTTCCAGGAAGTGTATAGGTATCAAAGCTCAAAACTCACAGATTACACTATACCTGTGATATCTTTATTTTCTCTTCACCTGAGATGTATTATGACATTGGCCTCACAAAGATCTGGTGGCTTTGTGTCTGCAAAATATTTCCAGACATGGAGGTTTAAGTGGTAATACTTCTGCTTCCACATTGTGAGCGTCATAGTAGCTTCTTGCTTGGCTGGAAGCTATTCTCACTCTCATGTCTGTTGCTTACATGTTAGACTTGTGCCTCTCTTCAGAGCACATGGTAACAGTATATTGTTGAGGCACTACTTAGAAATGACCCATCTAGTCAAGATAACTGACTTCTTGGCTCTTCCTGCAGTGAAGAGCTCTCTGGTTTATGTCAGAGAGCTCTTGTCAGCTGTCCTTTCTGTCTTTTTTCACTGTAGCTATCATTTCTGTCTCAACACACTGGGGTATAAGAAGGGTGTAGTTATTGCAGTGAAGATTTGGTTATTCTGCATCAGGACGATTGTTTGTACTGACAACAGTAATATTACTTCTGTTTGTGCATTTGGGCTTGAGGCGGGTGTTTGGCTGCTTGCTTACCTGGGGTTTATCTGATTGCAGAGAAGGTACTGGGTACATTTCAAAAAGGAATACCACACTTCAATTCCCATCTCTTTCAACCTGCAGTGCAAGATGTGTGGGGGGAAAAAAGACACTTAAGATAATCAATCTGTGTAAGAGAAATTGAAAATGTTGTGATTTGGTGGTGTCACTCTGCAGTTAGCTGTGCTACGTTTCTGCAGCTTCCAGGGCAATTTCAGAAACTGGCCAGCAGGAGAGTTGGTATTTAGTCCCATAATAAGCACAGTTCATGAAGCTTCTTAGGCCCTACCAAAAGTAATAATCCTGCCTAGCTCAATTTGCCTTGCTTCATACTCTGCTGTCTCTGAAAAATGGGAAGAAGGAATCATGTATCTTTGTTTTCACTTCTCTCTCCTTCAGGTAATGGTAACTAATGTCACATCACTTTTGAAGACTGTTAAAGCAGTAGAAGATGAAGCTACTCGAGGGACAAGAGCTCTTGAGGCCACAATAGAATACATCAAACAGGAACTCACGGTACAGATCAGAATAGTCATATGTGGCATTTTTTGGAAGCAGGCTCTTAAACCAGCCAGCCCAGGCACTCCTCAAGCTCTGCTTTACTGCCTTGAAGTGCATTGGATGCAATTTGGTGCTCTCTACCGGTTGCAAATGATCTCTGAAAGTACAATTACAGTGCCACTTCAGCCTGTGTACTTTCAGATGTTAACAGTCCCCACTTTGAGATTTGAGGTGCTACTATCTTGTGCATATGCAGGAGCAACTGCTTCTTTGTTCTTTAGCTGTTAAGCTTTCACTACAGGTATTCTTTTCTGAGTCCAATGCTGTTCCATTTTTTTTGATCTTGGCTTTGGTAATATCTCCTCAGCATCATAGCTGTGTTGCACCTCCAGTTTAATCTTGTTTCTGTTGTTCCTTTATTATGAAATTATACTACCAGCGATACATAGTCTGCTATCTGATATGCTGTGTCAGCAGGAATTAACTTCCAAATTAGGTGTTAGACCAGGACAATTGTTTTCCTTCCTCTTTAAAAGATATAAAAATAACACTGTAACAGCGCTAGCCTTGTCAAGTGCTCTCCATAAAACATTTGTGTTTCACTGTATGAGCAGTGCTGTTGTAATGAAGAAATAACTCTTGTTAGGGTTTCTTAAAATACCTGTACCTAGTGGTTGGGAATTCATGCAGTGTCTGCAGTGGGAAAAACTCAGTTCAGTACCTGACAAGGAATGTTCTGTATGATATCTAGTGCGCATTGCTGTCATGTATCCTCATGAAGACCTGGCTAAATTACATTCCTTCCCTTAACTCTTATCTAAAACCTGTCCAGATCTGTCACTGAAGGAGTGTGCATCACATCTGGTTGGTATCTTTCTGAAATGTTTCTCATCTTCCTTTTCTTTTTGCCAGCATTGCTAAGGAATGGGTCTGTGGAGGTGTCGTCTCTTTCATAGGGAGAAAAGTGGAGTACTAGGAGAGGGTCAAGAGGAACCAAGGATGGCACATACGTGCTCCAAAAAATGCCTCAAGCTTTGCTTGGAACTCCCAGGGACTGAATATGATCAACATTGGGGGATGTCCTTCACCTATTGAACTAAATTTTATTTTGTGATCTTGCTTCCATTTCTGGAGGGAGAAAGCGAAAACCTGATGCAACGGGAGCATGGGATAGACCAGGCTCATTTGTGTCCAGACATTTTTGTTCTGTAACCACTAGACTGCTTAGTTTGCACTGTGTGTAGTCAGGAAACGTCTCCTGATGAACTGTGCACTCCAGATTGCCCCTGCACAGTAACAAAATGGCAAGCGGATAGAGACTAACGTCTGTATCTGAGAAAGAAATACAAGATAGAAGTAAGGTTACCCAGCTTTTATTGCCTACATGGTGCCACAGTTCATGTGTTCCAGTATTCATGAGAGTTGTGTGTACTGTCAGATAATTTGAACTATTTTCACACAATTCACCCTGCAAAATTATATCTTCAGGTTTCTAAGGGAGACTAAGTACAGTGTAAGAGACAACACTCCACCTCTGCTTTAAGAGGCATTTGACTGTTTCAGTGATGTTCTCAGTCTGTCCTGCACTGTGCTGTTAACAAAGGCTTGGTAGGGCCCAGCCTTTGCAGAGGAAGGATCTCCTCACGTGAGCAGACCAGCCTAAGCAGCGGTCAGGATGAAAAAAGAATATAATTAAAGGAATGGTAATTCTTTTGATCCCATAATACTCTGAACAGCTGTTCAGTGACAAACTGTCATCTGGGCAGTTCAATGGCAAATGAGATGGATGGGTTAACCTTTTTTTGCATGTTTCCCTCAGCTTATTGTTTCTCTCTGCTGTCTGTAGGTCAGCAGGCTTTTCAGGACCAGGCTTACGACAGGCAAGAATGATATTCAAGTACTCTGAATATGTTTCTAATTTCCTGCTGTTTAAAGGCTGCTTCCATTTGCTGGCTCTTTCTCATGGATGCTCTGCTTTGACTTGAATCCTATCAGGCTTTCCTTCTGCTTTCACTTTTAGGTGTTTCAGTCAAGCGAGGTTCCAGAAAAGACATCATCACCTGAAGAATCAATCCGGATGACGAAAGGAATCACCATGGCAACTGCCAAAGCTGTTGCAGCTGGGAACTCATGCAGACAGGAGGATGTGATTGCTACAGCGAATCTGAGCCGCAAAGCAGTAGCTGACATGCTAACAGCTTGTAAGGTAAAGATTCACTTGCTTGCCTAAGACTGATTCCCCCTCCCCACAGTGTGCCTCTAAATCCCTTAAATGTTACAGTTTCTGTTTGGTTTCTTTGTCTTAATGCTCTACTTTTCAGGTGAGAAAGTCAATGGTTATGGTAACTGTAAGGGAACGTCTCTCAGAAGGGATTATCTGTGTTGTTCACCAAAAAAAAAGCAGCAGCAGCAGTAATACTGACTTTTTGTGCAAATGAGAAGTTTTATTTGACCTGAAATTTCCTACTTTTCAGTCTCCTGTTAAACTGGCAGACAAACCGCCTGTGCAAGTAGTAGATAATGCAGATAATCCTACAGTCACAAATATGATTTCAGTATTGCTGGAACAGTGAAAGGAACGATGAAAGGAATCACTCTGGTCTATTTTTCATAGTCTTCCTCCCCCCCCTCCCCAAAATCTGTTGGCTTGCTCGATTTCTTCTGTGCCTTTCAAAAGTGTGTTTTGCCTTTGCACCCTGTTTGCTACACTTGCTTGAGCTAGACAGCTTTGGAAAACTGACCTGAAAAACAGGGGGGAATGTACGTGTGTCGTATGAAACCATTTGGCTTTGTTCTGATGATAAAAAACATCTAGGCACACATTAAAAAGGGGTTATAAAGATCTCCTTCCTTTTGGTCCTCGGTAGTAACACAGAAGTGCCTTTGCCAGTAAATTACATTTATTTGCTTTGGCCTTTGCATGTGTGGAAAATTACAGTAAAATAATGGCTCTCTCTGTGAGGTGTCTGATTTTCAGCCTAAGCCAGTCACAGATTCATTTTTAGCCTAATACTGCCTAGGTGGAAGTGTTAATTCTCGTTTTAAACTGATGCCCATACAAAAGTGCAAGTCCTGAGATAATAAGAACTTTTTATTTTACCGAGTTTTCTGTCAGGGTCCTTATTCAGGCAGTTCTTGACCACTTTGCATGTTTCAAATTTGGATTCTGTTCTCTCCACTTCATAAACTTGGAAGGTCAACACAACAAAACAGCTTTAATTTGCATGGCAAAATGAACTAACTGTGTCACTTACATGGGAACTACTGTAGCCTATTATGTCGTAGGTACAAGCCAGTTGATTGAAACTTCTCAGGGAGGCTGAGAACAGCTCATAGTTGTGCCACATTCTCACAAATCAGTTGGGGCATGAATTCCGATGCGGAGGTGCACTGAGCATCCTTTGTCATTCGGAAGTGCCTAGTGTCACATCTCTGTTTCAGTCTCTCCAAACAGACAGAGCATCCTCCTTTTCCAGAAGTGTTAGAAACACACTCACACAATGAATAGCTCAATATGTAAATCTGAACATTTACTTACAAACATTCATCTTTTCTGTATACATTTATTCCCAGTTAATTTAATGGTTTCAGAATTCATTAATTGCAAGTGGCTGACAGGATGAAACTTCCTGCAAATGGAACTGTGGAGTTCTGGGATGGTGGAAAAGCATCTGTGGTGTCCCGGGGAGTTACCTTCGCAAAGAAAGCAATCTTTGACTGGGAATCATTTTACTTACCCGTAATGATACACTGACAAGGAGTAAGGTCTAGTTTTATCTTGCTTAGCTTTCCTAAAATCAAAGGCGGTTATTGGGCAAACAGGAATAAAAGTCTCCACCTATCCTAATTTTATGTGTACATTTGGTCTGTAATGTATGACAAAATAGCCATGTCATTTAACAAAGTTTTTCAATATACAACTTGTACAAGACTTCATTTAGGAAGTCCTGTTTCTACAAATTTTGCTCAGAGACTTAAAAATCTTATGCCATTAATTTCTACAGATTGATTATTGTACATGGCATTGCCTTGATAAATCACATCCCTTGAATTCTAGGGGTAGGAACCAGCAGTCTTAGCCTTACTATGCCATGAAAGCTGTGCAAGGCAGTGAGTGCAACTTGATTTTTGTGACATTTGACAAATACTGGAGGAGTTTCCAGTGTGACTAAGCTAGTCTGTACAATAAGCACTGGCAAATAATCAGATTTAATATCCTTTGGGCAAGACAAAAGTGCATGTATATGATCTATGGAAGAATTGTATAGAACATAGCTTAAACTTCCCTGCTGTCAGGAATTTAAGTTCCATTTTATTGCCAGCTGCCTAAGGCAAGTAGTATAAGGGATTTGACTTACTAGCAGTTACTCATATGCTTGTGCTTGTTCTGCTGTACGTGAATTTACAGCACCCATTGCTAATTCTATGCTTGTAAGTAGATGCCATTTCAAAAGACAGTAAGGTTGATGGCTGCAGGATATAATGAACCAAGACAACTCTCATTAAAGTCAGTGGAAACACTGTAATTATATTTACTGAAGGTTAGAGTGGGGCCCAAGATAATAACAATCTTTTCATTACCTGTTTGTACAAAATGATGTCTATGCACTAAGTAAATTGTGCGTAATATCACTGTTACAGTATCTGGCCTGAATTCAGTGTTGACCCAGCTTTAGGCAGGAGGCTGGACTATGCGTGTTCTCCAGGTTCCTTCAAATGGCACTGTTTTTCTGAGTATCTCAGTACATATTAGCTCTACAAGTTATTTATCAGTACTGATGGGCCAGAAGTTGTGGTCCTGAAGTCAAGTATTGCTTGCTGCCTTACTGTTCTAAAAGAATATGAAGAGAAAATGAGGGCTGATAGAGAAGGGAAGCCTGAGCAAGAGAAAATAAACGTGTACTCTAGTTCTTCAGACACGTGTTTCTGTTGGAGGTGCTTCAGCAGGTTTTCTGTGCAAGTCTGGAGGAGTACACTTCTTTGTTGTGAGTCTGAACTGCTGTAGTGAGATGTTTCTGCGTACCAAAATGTCTTCCTAAAATGGCATTATTACCTCTTTAGTCTGCTGTGAAGTACACAGTTTTAAAACCCATTGAGCTTTAAAAATGCTCCCAAAATATTCTGATGTCAGTCTCAGCTATGTATGCAAAGCATAAAAGGAAGTTTCTATTTGTCTCCTACACGTTTGTTCTAATTGCGTGTGCATCAATAACATGTAAGTGGAGCCGGAGGCGTGTCAGGGTGCTTACAGCGCACTGGCAGATCCTTCTGCCTGGTTTTAAAATTGAATATGGGCTATTCTGGATGGTTGGGGCTTCTGGAGCTCGTTCGAAGTGTGCCGAAGCTGGGGAAAATCCTACCCGGTTTCCTCCCCCCGCCTTTCCATTCGGAGGGTTTGTTGACAAGCTGCAGAGACTAAGGTTGTAGCTGCCGAGTTTTGGTGCTCTGCTCATCTTGAGCTTCCCGGCAGAGGGAGCCCCCAGGCCGGCTCCGGGCCCCTCCGGCAGCGGCGTGTGCTCGGGCTGTTGAGCGTTGCAGGAAGGGCTGGAAATGAGCGAGCAGTGAGATAATGCCCCCGGCCAACGGAAGGCAGGAGGCTGCAGGGGGGGAAGGAGCTGCTCGGAGAGAGGAAATGCTGATTTTCAGGATTTTTAGGAAGTTTGAGTGGTCAGAGACTGGCACTTGTGTTTAAAAAAAATAGTTCCCTGGGAGCTTATTTTAGGAAAAACAAAGGTGGAAGAGGCTGCAGGTTTCACTTTTTGTTAGAACAGGCTTGAATTAGTCAGGCTTCCGTTAGATGTCAGACATTGGACTTAGTGGGAATCCTTAACAAGTGAAAGAACTGACTCTGCCGCTGCTTCCCTGTATTTAAGCAGATGGTTCCAGCACTGCCCATTGCTGTGTTGAATCTCTGTGTCAAGCTGAAGCTGTTAACAAGCTTCTACTTACAACTTGTTACCAAATAATGGAAAGCAGCCAACACTCTTTTTGGGTGGGTGGGTTGGGTGGGGTGGTTTTTTGTGTGTCTCGTGTAAAAGAAGGATTTCCTGCACTTCCATAGCACTTCTGCCATTTGCAAAGCTTTCTGTAAGGAACTATCATATTTATCTTTCATAGTAGAAAAGTAAAAGCGAGACCCACATTTGACCCACAGCCTGGGCTGGGGGTTGACCTCTTATTGGCCCAAAGTCTTCTGGGGCCAGGCCAGTGCTTTGGTCTCGAAACCAGGTGGCTGTTTCTGCTTTCATTCCTTGATGGTAGGCTGTACGGGCTTACAATTCAGAACGGGTTTAGCACATGCCTAACCTGTACGATGTGAATGGCCATGTGTGAGTGGCAAAACTACGCTCACTATGGTTATATTTGTTGGTATTAGTAAAAAAGAAGAGCCACAACAGGATAACCTTTGCACTGCAGAACAGTACATATGCAACCCAAGAGCCCGTTCCAGCCCCAAGGTATTTTCTAAATGAGATATTTTTCATCAGAAGAAATCGTAAATCCTTCTGTGTTTTCAGATGGTTCTTCAAAGGTTTCTCTATTTGTTCTCAACTGGCAGAAAGAAGCAGTACTACTGCTGACAATACCTAATTCCTTAGGACACTAAGGAAGACTGCAGATGTACACCCAGACAGGAGAATGTGCAGATGAAAGGAAACGTGTTCCCAATGCCATTCTTAGAACTGGAGCTCTGCTGCTCTTTGGGCACAGTTTGCTTATGCCTTTACAACAGAAATGGCTGGCAGTCAAGCTCAAATGAGTGTCCCTGCTCATGGCAGGGGGGTTGGAACTAGATGATCTTAAGGTCCTTTCCAACCCAAACCATTCAATGATTCTATGAATGTTATGAAAAATCTCCTCCCTTCTCTTTCCCCTACCTTTTCTGTGTTGACCTTCTCTTGTGGGAGCAATTTTAGGGTACTAATGTTTTGCCTCCTCAGCAAGCATCGTATCACCCAGATGTGAATGAAGAAGTTCGAGAGAGAGCCCTGCGCTTTGGAACAGAATGTACCCTGGGATACTTGGAACTCCTGGAACATGTTCTCCTGGTAAGGAGTCATCTGCATGCACCTACTGGATCCCTTCCGAGAAGAATACTCTCTCTGACCTCTTTCTTCAGTAGCTGCTGGTGACAAGTTTTTATCAGTTTGTCACAAGATTATGAACAGTTTTGTTACTCAGGAAAAGCAAGCTAAAGTAAACGCAGCACTTCAGCTCAAACTACAGGGTAGAAGGAAGTCTAGAAGTACTTAAATGGGACTGAATCGGGGTCTGATGGGTCTTGACCTAAAAATGGTCCCTGGCAAAGAAATGAAAATAAGACACTTCGGTGTTCTTTTAATCCCACTGTAAGCATTAGGCATATTAGGCACACTCCTGTCCCCCAGAGCAAAGAGGTTACGTATTCTTTGTGAAAGCACTTTTATCTGCCTTTTGCAGTCACACCTACTGAATGCCATCCCAAAACCAGCTCTGCCTCACAAAGAGCTCTCCAACTCATGCCAGACATGACATCCCCAATAAAACTGCATAAAACTTCTCTGCTCGTATCCAAGGTTAGGCATTTATCTGCAAAATGGGAAACATGCTTACAGAAAGAGAAAATGTGTCTTGAATGTGCACTTAGTTGTCAGAGCTGTTTTGCAGAGCAGTTTTTGAAAACAGGAAGAAAATGCACACCTAAATGTGACTTTCCAGACACCTGTTTTGCTCTTAAGTCTCTTTCTTTAACTGTCACTGCTCTCAGAAGTAGTTTTTGAGTATATGTGAATTTCCAGAACTTAATCTTTTTTCTCCCTACAATATGGTAATTAAAGATGCAAATGTTGTTCCTGCTTAGGAAAGAATTCAACTTCGCTGTCTGAATGTTTGACTGTTTTCTATTTGAAGAAGTGCACTTTAATACTTCGTGCAAGTTCAGCTCAGAGGTGTCTGTCTTTCACTTTTAATGGTCTTGCCCAGGGTTGGTGTTTCCATTGTGTTCACCGTTGCTGGTTTTTTCCAGAACAGGCAACTAGAGCTAGCTTGCAGAACTCTCATTCTGTTTCTTAGTAATAGTGATCATCCAGTTTGTTCATCTGAGGAGATCAGCTCCTCTCCAGCAGTGTAGAAGGACTAAGCCTGATGCATAATGACTATAATATCTGAGAACAGAGTGCTGAAGATCTGTATTCCTCACACATAGTAACACATGTGCCTCTCTTTTGGAAAATTCTGTCCTAGTTTTAGCACTGAGAACTTCCAGACAGTATTGCCAGTTCCCATAGAAATGGGAGGCAGTGCCACTTTCCCAGCATGTGTCAGACATCGCAGGGTGAGCCTTTGCTCCTAGTGATTCATTGACAACTGTATTTCTTTTACCGCACTAATGTTTTCTCCCAGCCCATTGCTGTGGAAAATAAATCTTTCACTAGTGTGGCTTGGGGCTGTTCCAGCATTCTCTGGAATCCTTACTAATATGCATTAGGACATTTTATCTTTTCCCCTAGATCCTTCAAAAACCAACTCCAGAACTAAAGCACCAGTTGGCCTCTTTCTCCAAGCGGGTGGCTGGTGCTGTTACAGAGCTCATCCAGTCAGCAGAGGCAATGAAAGGTGAGTTGGGCAGCCTGGATACCAGTGCAGTGTGCTTTTTACTCCAGAAATGATGAACTGTCACTTTTGTAGTTTAAAACAAAATCAAAAACTAACAGAAACCCTTTTGATGATGTTTCCTGTGTCTTGGTCCCACATACTTTCATTCTTCAAATTCCTCTGCTGGTGTTCAGTTCACAGTCTTGGTAAACGTGTGTATTTGACCCTCTCCCACTTACTATGATTGGTCATGAGTCATCTGTGTGGCCTTTGAAGACGAAACCATCAAGCAGAGCACTTGAGCTACAGCAGTGGAAAACAAAATACAGTATCACTCCTCTTGAACTGGGGACTGAATTGTAATTGGATGGCTGGTTCCTTTCCGTACACTCATGCTTGTTCAGTCAAAATAAGTCGTTTGCTTTGCAGTCATAGTTGCTTTCCAACTTCAAATAAAAAGGGATACCATCATCTTGCTGAATTAATACTCAGCCTTTAGCAGTGGTGTCTCTAGTGCTCACCATCCTGTCTGGGTCCTGCCCTGGCAAAGTATATTAATGAGACAATGAGACTTCAGAAAATCATGGTCTGGTTCATAGAATCAACCAGGTTGGAAAAGACCTATGGTCATCAAGTCCAACCAAGGACCACTGCCAAGTCTGCCACTGAGGGCCTCATCTATACGGTTTGTGAACACTTCCAGGGATGGTGATTTTCCTAATATCCAGCCTAAACCTCCCCTGTCACAGCTGGAGGCTGTTTCCTCTTGTGCTCTCACTTGTTCCCTGGGAGAAGAGTCCAGGCCCCTCCTGGTTCCATCCTCCTTTCAGGTAATTGTAAAGCACCTTTTTTTGAAGAGGAGCTGTTATATTTTGCAAGTTTGGTTTTGACTGTGTTTATACATGCTGCTTTTATCAG